TTTTTTTTTTTTTTTCGTTTTCATTACGATCAATCATGTTTCCGTTGTCCTTATCGTCGACTCACGTTGACTTATGCGTATGCGTGCGCGTGACACGATACTTTTGTCTCCGATTAGGATCGTCCGTGTCACGAACAATCGTTTTGCGGCGGAACGAATCGACGAAACAACTATATTTCCGACGTTCTCTGTCCCGTGATTAAAATTGTTTGCCAGTCGAAGATCGGTCGTTGTCTATCATTAGTTCGCTTCAGGTTACAAACAGAAAAAGCACGAATAAAACATTGTTGGCAAAATCGAAAATTCTAAATACGATTACAATACCGTTATTTTTGAACACTGGAGGAAAACGATTCGTCGCTTTCCATTGAAAGTTACACTTGTATAGGTACTTTCATATTTAAATAAACATGACAAATCTGAAATTTTGCCCCCCCCCCACCCCCGTCTCTTTGTAGAATTGTCTTTACTTTAGTATGCTTGTCGTCTAGAAGACTTGAATAATTTCAATAAGCTTATTTTTCTATTCGTTTTATTTCCTATGAATTGTTTTTGTAAATATCCGTCGAACGTTCACAGTCGTTCTTGTACTTTTGTCGTTCTGACCCAGAATGACAAAGATTGCAACTATTATTTTATGTTTCTAACAGTCAGTTTCGATTATAAAGTATCAGTTGCTAGACTAGGTAAGATGATCAACTTTGATCTCAAAGAAGCAAGTTTCTAACCGCATATAGCATGCAATTCAATAAAAAGTAAAATCGAATTATTCCAGCCTAGAATCGTCCTACAGCATAGTTTGGGCAATAATTTCGGTGCTATCGCTGTTGATGGATGACCGTCTATTCAGATCCACGCTTCTCTCGTGGCTGTTCCTCGAGCAAGCCATTTCCGCTTGCTGCCGCAGCATCCTCGCCTTCGTCAGCCCTGTGTTGTCAACCATCTGCGAGAACACTCCGTTAGGGTTGTCCCTGAGGAGCTCATGGGGACAGCCGAATTCCTGTTTCGGCAAACCGATTATTGTCTCGCGATTATTGTCTCGACAGAATAGTACTTTTAAATTGAACCGTACCACGATGTGTCCAGCGTCCATCACTATGATCCTGTCGCAGTCGATAATGGTGTTGAGGCGATGAGCGACGGTGATCACCGTGCGGTCGGCGAAGCTGGTGCGAATTGTTTCCTGGATCAAGGCGTCGGTTCTAAAACAAGAAACATTCGCCGTAAACAGGTGATCGATCATGGTCGAGCAACGAACAGGGAAAGCAGCGTTACTGGTTGTCGATGTTCGCGGTGGCCTCGTCCAACACGAGAATGCGATTGTTCCTCAAGATCGCCCTGGCCAGGCAGATCAACTGCCTCTGGCCGATGCTCAAGTTGTTCCCGCCGCTATGTAACTGCTGATCCAGGCCCAGATTGTTCAGCTCCACTTGCTGCAGGCTGTCCCACAGCTTCGCATCGTCATACATGTTGAACGGGTCCAGGTTGTTGCGCACGGTGTCAGAGAAGAGGAACGGTTGCTGCGGTATGATGGAGATCTCCGAGCGGAACTCGTGCAGCCCCAACGTGCTCAAATCTATCCCGTCGACCTCGACCTTGCCCTGCAGACCTTCGGAGAACAAGCGGAACAGAATCGATATCAAGGACGATTTTCCTGCACCCGTTCTGCCCACCACGCCGACCTTCCATCCCGGCTCCAGCGTCACGTTCAGGTCCTAGAACGATCACGAGTAGGTTCGCAAGTCGAGATCACGAGGAAGGGAGGAAGGAAAATCGGTAATCACCCGCAGAACCATCGGCTCGTCCGGACTGTATCGGAGGCTGACGTTCGTCAGTTTCAATTTGCCTCGCTCGGGCCAGTTTGGCGGCGGAGGATGGTCGCTTCGCCACTCCCCTTCCGACGGCAACTCGATGTAATCCATGATTCTTCCTACCGACGCCATGTACGCTACCAAATGGTAAACTTCTTTCAAGCCGTGCGGCAAGACGGTAACAATGACGTATGTCTGTGCTAGAGCCAGGCCGACGTTGCCACTGAGGGTGTCACCTAATGAAACGTATTCGTTAGCGACGTAAACAGCAAGAAAAACAGGGGGACTGGTCGGTTCTCACACTTTAACCAGGCCCCCCCCCCCAACTTCTCCTAATTTCCTAACGCTTCTTACAGATCTGGATTAGCTCTTGGTCCCATGCTCACCCGAATCCGCCAGTATGAACGAAAAAGAGAGGCACGCGTAGAAGATCCAGATCAGAATGTTCGAGTAAAAACCGGTCATCTGAGACGCGATGAACAGCAGATGGTTCGCGCCGGTGTTTACGTCCTGCAGGTCGTCAAACTGCTTTTCCAGTACAGTTATCATCGCGGGCCCGGTGGCCCGAATCGTGGTCAGCCCCTCCATCGTTGCGTTCACATGCGAGAACACAGGGCTCTTCGCTGAAATTGATCGCGATCGGGTCAGATCATGCGCAGGGTTCAGCACAATGTTAGTACGCACCCGTGCTTTCCATTTGCTTCAGTTTGATCACGTTCTTCGAGTAGATCACCCTTAGAAAATGAAAGACAACACCTAGAATCAGCACAGGACCGAGCATCCATTTGTTGCAAGTCATCACGACGATCAAGCAGCCAATTATTAGCAATATGACCTGAACGCTCTCCAATATCGTCATCGGCAGCAATTCGTCTATGGTGCCCATATCCTTGGAGAATCTGTTGAAAATCCTGCCTGCAAGCATATACAGGGTGTATCAGGTTTCAATGTTCAAAAATTTCACAGTATATTCTGTGACGCTGAGTAAGAGAAAAATGTATTACGTAAACATAGGTCATTCGGAACTTTGTTGAAATAGTTTTAACAAATCTACCGTTACCGCGAACATTGGCTCGAATAGATCAGTGATATTTGCGTTGAATTTGTTTAGGATTTTTAAAGTAATTCTCGCCAGTGATAGCTGTCGATAGCGGAAGCGATAATTGCAAGTAATAAATACATTGATCTATTCGAGCCAATGCTCGTAGTAACAGCAAATCGGATGCTATTCCGCTTGTATCGGGTATTTTTGCTGTAACTGTTTCATAAACCTCTGAACGACTTATGTTCAATGCCATAGAATGTGCTGACAAAGTTTGGACATCAAAGTCTGTCAGATCCTGTACAAACAGTCTGAATTACTCGATCGGTAAAACAGGCAAATCCGTTTACCAGACTGATTGCGGTGGAAGAACGACAGCCTGGTCCTTAACACGCTCGAGAACATCGCGTTATGAATGTTCAGGGTGGCTCTGCAACAGACCCATATGATGGAAACGTTCCGTAGGATTATAACGAGCGAAGAAAGCAGAGTCCAGAACGTGTAAACGTAGATGGCGTCCATGGTCGACAAGTAACCGTGGCTGTCCAACGTGAATATCTTCGCCAGGAACGTGTTGTTGTAGACGAACCGATTGTCCGGGATCGCGGAGCTGTTTCCCTCGATGGTGCGTCTGGCGACCTCCAAGTTCGTCCAGTTCGAGAGCCATAGATCGTTCAAGCTGAGAGTCACTTGAGACAGGAGTACAACGATTAACAATAAAGTCAGGGCAGGATAAGACCCGCCGTGCCTGAAGTATCCTAGGAACAGGCTGCTGGTACTGCGAGCCTTAGCAGGCATCTCGTCGTCCTCGTCCGGACCGAGCTGTTCCCCGTCGTAATCGCAAGACATCTGAAACCCGATTGAACATCGTACATTCGCCTTGGCTTAATAATTCCCCGGCGTTAACGTGAACAGAATTCTTTTCCAGATACCATGCTGCTGGCGATGGACCCCACCGAAGATCTGCCAATGGTCCTCCTGCTGGCTCTCCTATCCATGGGTAGGGACGGTAAAACAGTGTTATCGCCTGCTTGTTGTCTGGTGGCTTCTGCCGACTTCGCGATACCCTCGAAGATCTCGACAAACTCCTCCGAGGTCTTGTACAGCTCTTCGTACGACCCTTTCATCCGTACGGTGCCCTTCAACGAAACAGTCGACTTTCCTGAACGCGTCCCGCGCGTACAACCGTTAATACGACGTAAGTACATCCATATTTCCGAGACTCACTCGATCCACCACCGCGATGCAATCGGCTTGCTTGACTAACTGCACCTGGTGGGTCACCAGGACTCTGGTCTTCCCGTGTAGGTACTGCTTGATGCACTTGTAGAAGAGGTGCCTGGCCACCTTCGTGTCGACGGCGCTCAACGGATCGTCCAGCAAGTAGATGTCGGCCTGCCTGTAGACGGCCCTCGCCAGGTTCACTCGGGCTCTTTGACCGCCGGACAACGACGACCCGTTCTCGCCGACGTTGCTCATGTCGCCGCGAGGAAGCTGCTGGAAGTCGTGGACAAGGGCGCATGCTTTGATCACCTGCAACGCACACCGAGTTCACTCACGCAGACTGTACCGAAGTAGGGAAACGTCGAGCCCGGGGTGAACTCACCGCGGCGTATCTCTCGCTGTCGTACGGCTGTCCGAAGAGGATGTTATTTCTGACGGTTCCGGAGAACAGCCACGGATCCTGGCTGGCGTACGAGATCGTCAAGTTCGGTTTGTCGATGATATAACCCGACGTGTTGTCGCAGAGTTCTTTCGGCTCGCCGCAATATACTTTCACGGTTCCGGATCCCAGGGGCATATCCTTCAGTAGTAGATAAAGGATGGAGGACTTGCCGGAACCGACGCTGCCGACCAGCGCCAGCAATTCCCTGGATCGAATTTGTAACGAGAGGTTGACCAATGTCGGTGGTAACTTGCCGGGTGCCCAGTTTGCGTACACGTGATCCAGCGTCACGGAAACCGGCGCGTTTTCCTCGACGCGAGTCACGGTTGTATTTCGAAGACCGTTCTCCGCTTCGATGGTCTCCTCGGCCTTCGTCTTCTTCTTCCTTTCCCGGTCGTTCGATTTACCGTTCTGCTGGGCCGAATTCAACAGCGTCTCGACCGGTTGTTCGTCCAGTAATAAAAATTGCTGGAACAGGCTTTCTTTCTAGCGAGACAGCAAAATAGCAAGGTACAGTGCATTCTCCCTAATCGACGCTCAACTTGGACAATTTCGGAAGAGGATGACTCGTTTTTATAGGTTTTAACAATCGGTAACCGTGAAAACAAGCCGCAAGGCTCGAACAATCGTATCTCCTTCTCTCAAATTGTCCATTTCTTTTTTTTGTACAAACCGAGCGTCGATTAAGGAGAATTTACTGTACACAGTGAGGCAGCCAGCTGCAAGCCGAGACGAACCTGCATCCTGTTGGTGCAAACATATATCTCTGCGCACTGTATCAAGGCCAACGGAAAGAAAAATGCGCCTAACGTTTGGAAGTGCTCGAAGTAGCTCGCCAGCATGAACGTGATGTGCGGATAAAGCTTATACCCCATCAGCACGTAGCACAAAGTGGTGACGTAGAGAATGATCCTTGTGGTCAGCACCACGCTCATTAGGTAGATGCCGTATATGTTGACGCCCTGCCGTATTTTCTTCACCTCTTTCTTCCTGACCGTGGTTATGATATCCGAGAACGGTTTCTCCCAGGCATACATCTTGATCACCTTCCGAGAACAATCGGAATTCTCCGTGTAAAACCGTTCGTACCGCGACCGCCGGCGTTCCGCTTACCTGTATACCTGTTAAGAGCTCTTGCATCAATTGCACCCTTCTGTCCGTCAGATAGGCGATCAGCAGTCTCACCTTGTTGACCATCTTCACGGTGACGCTGTGCAACGGAAGCGACAAAGCGATCAGAGTCGCCAAACTGACCAACGTCAGGATACCGATCCTCATCCATAGCAGCGAGCTGATCACCACCGTCTGCGAACGATGGAAACAAACCGATGTTTTTTGCGTTACCCAAGTCAGGACGAACGCGAGCAAATTCGTGTACTCGTGTCCCGGTTAATTACCTGCACTGGTGTCACCCAAATGAAATGCATGAAGAAGCAGAACTTCTCGAAACGCTGGACATCGTTGCTGAGCAAGTTGACGACCTGGCCGCAAGTGGTTTGAGTCAACGTGCTCTTGTTCAACCGTAATATCTGCGGGAAAAGATGTCTCTCTTTCAGCGGGAACAGGCAAACGTCGGGAACAAAGGAGGTTCATCCGGTTGGCCGTGTGAACAACCATTCGCGAACGATCGATACCAATTTGTATGGTCGGCAAACATTTCGAAGGACCGAGCCTGCTTCTCGATTCACAAGGTTCTGATAGCAACGTGTCAGCGGTTGGCCGACAACGATCATAAATAGCTCGATAACGCGTGCTCTTTTAGTATGTAATCTTTTACGCGCGAAGGACAACAACGATCGCGAGAATCTATCTTATTATTAGTAAGACGGTGCGTGTGTGCGCGTACATGGAAGATCGATCGGCGACCTTGTTGTTACGGAAACGAAGCAGCGTTTTCCCGGCTCGAAATGATGTTCCAAAAGGTTGCCGTTGCTCGAACGTTTCCGGGCGAAAGAGAATTGACGATTTTGCGAGCACGATCATCGATTACCTTTTTGTAAATGAGAGAGGAGCACGCGACTCTCATTCTCAGGCCCAGTTGCATCGTCAACAGCTCTATGTGATGCATAAAGAGAAGCGAGATGAACAAGTGTATTATCATAATGCCCGAGTAGATCAGCGCCTCGGAACTGCTGATCGAGTTTTCTGCCTCGTCTTGGTTGAAGTACTTGATGACCTGGTATTGCAGGAGAGGCAGGGTCGTTGCCATGATCACGTAGTAGAAGCCCAATAGCAGCGCCATGAATGCTATTTCCGTGTGAAACGCCGACAGACAAGCCAGTAACAACGAGGGCCCGTTTCTGTTTTTCGCCTTCAACTCGTCCAGTCCTTTCGTGCCCGTCGTGCCGGATGATTTTGACTTCGCCAATTCGTGTTCCCACGATCTACCGTTTGCAAATTTCGTACTCGTTAGTCGAATTTCATCATTGAAAAAAAAAAAATTGGTCGATACTTACTTGCTTAGTCGTTCGCAGACGTTCGCGGCTTTGTCCTTCTCTAACGGAGAATAAAGATCCGATAGCTGCAGCTCTTTCTTGACGCCTTGGATCATCAATTTCCAGGGCCATCTGAGGTCAGAGGAATTAGATTTTTACGCGAAATTCTGGCCCTTCGCGAGAACTACAATGAAACGAACAATGAAATGCGCCGCTCAACGAGACGATCGGACACTCACATTAGAAACAGTCTATTTAACAGACTGGCGGTCTCTTCCGGGCTCTGTTTCGTGTACACAACTTTCGACTCCATCGTTCTATTCGGGAATACGTAACCGTTCCTCGCGACGTTTATACCTTTTGCAAACAGCGTTCGAACGAATCGGAAAGTCGAGCAACGCTGACGGTCGGCCGTGGATTTTGTATTAAAATTTATTCGTACCGATAAAAATTACGCGGTAAACATCCAGATAGCGAAGATCGACTCAGCAAACACGTGAAACTTGGACGTCGAACGAATATCATTCTCGTTACGACTTCGAAATCATTTTCGTGTACAACTTCGGCGCAAGGGTATTTTCCTGTGTTGCTTGAAGCGGCCATCGAGAATTGAAAGTATCTCGTTTCATTCTACTGTTAGGGAACATTTTTCATTAACGAACTCTAGCAGCACTCGTAAGAGACGGAAAGTCCAAAAACTGACACGTGCAATTATCCATCTGTGACGTAACATTCAATGACATATTTGTCACCGGTTGACAAACACTAATGACACGGTTCTTGGTCGTTATATTATAACGTTTCAACTATTGTTCGAGTAATTTCGTGCTTATGCAATGAATATGGCTAACGAAAACCTTCAAGGCCGTCATGATACCGGAAAATTACACACGAATATATTAGAAATAGTATCAAAAAAATGTATTGTAGACGACGTTACTCCCAAGAGATTCTGGGGGTAAGTGCCGAGACGTCGATCACGGTACTTTCACCCGAAGGCATCGTCTTCGCCACTCTGTGATCATCTGCACCAGGAAAAGAAGTTATCCTATACTTGATCGATGCGACATTGGGTAGCTTGACTTCTTCAAACATACTTCCACTTTCAAAATAAACAGTCTTTGACACCCGATAGCCGAGGGACCAACGTGATCGCCAACCGTCGTCTACCTGCAAAAGGGATTATTGTACGTGTCGATAGCCACTACTATTTTTCCATTTTAATCTTTGTTTAACCTTTTAGGCACGACGCGCCACTATAGTGGCTTTCGCGGATGTCATCTCTCTGGACGACGCACCACTATAGTGACTTACTCTAGCAGCTCACTCGGTCATCGTTTGAATCAAATAATCGTCTTCATATGCATTGTTTCACACTTCTTTTGTCTTCACATCGATTCATAACAGTCTGCAGGGTGTCCCAAAAATGTCTCGCAATCCGGAAATGGCGGGTTCCTCGGATCATTTAAAGCAACTTCTTCCTTTACAAAAATGTTCTCCGAGGCACCGTTAACGAGTTATTAACGAAAAACAGTGACCAATGAGAGACGAGCTCGGCTGGCGCGAGGCGATCGANTCGCCAACCGTCGTCTACCTGCAAAAGGGATTATTGTACGTGTCGATAGCCACTACTATTTTTCCATTTTAATCTTTGTTTAACCTTTTAGGCACGACGCGCCACTATAGTGGCTTTCGCGGATGTCATCTCTCTGGACGACGCACCACTATAGTGACTTACTCTAGCAGCTCACTCGGTCATCGTTTGAATCAAATAATCGTCTTCATATGCATTGTTTCACACTTCTTTTGTCTTCACATCGATTTACAATATACTATATTATAGTATAATATAATATAATATATTATAATTATTATTATTATAATATATATATTATATATATATATTATATATTAATATATATATATATATATATATATAATATTATATTATAGTAGTAATATATAGATATATATTTATAATATGCGATTCACAATATATCTTAAGAATATACAGACACTCTGTATAGTGCATATCAGACTCTGCCGTCCAGAGAAATAGCCTCGCGCAGAATTCAGCCGTACCTAAAAGGTTAAATGAATCTTACGTTAAAATTTATATTTTATTGCACCATTTAAAACGTATTTTTTAAAATGAATAACTGGGCATACATCATGTTCCGTGTTGAAAGCCTAGAAGAATCAGGACATTCCCTTTCGACTCCATCTGTTCATCAAGCAATACTAATCCATCTGTAGTATGCAGTTTCTCTGAAAAGCTGTTACTATCTTCAGAACGTAACATTTTATTTAATTATGGCCCACTGATGCTCATGAGAGGTCGAGCCATCATCTAACCCTCATAAATTCTTTGTTTTGCATGCTTTGCCAAGTCGAGATGCTTTCCCGGGTTTATTGCCTGCAACGCTAGAAGAAAAGATTTCGCACTGTGTCCACATTGTACCAGTTCCATAGATCCGTCTCGCTTTGTTTTTGGTACAGTGTAACTCGAACGACGAAGCAAGCCTGACGCGGGCTTGCCTGTAAGTGTAAACAAACACATTTGGACGGTGTCGGGTGGCCTGTCACGCCACTGCGCGCGTAATGCGAACACTCCGATGTAAATCAAATGGAACCATCGTTTCCAAATTCTCTCTCATCGTATTCAATTTTCGGCCACCCTTTCCAAATTCTCTCTAAGAATGCGTAACCGCTAACAGATATATTGGTAGAATCGAAAGAAAATAATAGGCAAATTGGTATGAAATTTCTGAGGTTACAGAAACGTCGAGGAGACTTTCGTGCATCTGTATTGTGCGAAACGGTTTATTGATATCTGCGAATATGAAGATTTAAAAATAACGCCGTTTGGGGATCCGTGTAGTGCGAAGCGCACGGTGACGAAACGTTCAAACCGGAAGACAAATTACTGGCTGCGACAAATTCTTCGAAACGTCAGATGTCGCCACCGTGCATTTCCAGATGGTAATTTACTCCGTCGACAAATTTGTCTAACTGTTTGAGCGTTTTGCTACTGCCGTCAATGGCGCTGTACGAACACTTAAACGAAACCCGGCAAATTTGAAATATTGTACGGTAGAAATCCACACGCTTAAATCCACAAACTTAAATGAAAGCTAAAGTATCAGACTTAACGATTTAGCTATATATATTTATATATTTATTTATATTTATATAAAGTTAAACGGAATAATCGCGTGCGAGTTTGGTGGTGCATCGATGCATTTCGTCTTACGTTATGCAAGCTGCTGCTGCAGAAAAGCACGAAAACTAACATGGTCGATAACGTCGGTGTGGATATATCCACAAATATATTAGGCATGATTAATGACTATTTTCAGGTAAACAAAAAAAATGCGCCTTTCAAATCTGCCACCCGGGAGAGGAGGTAGTGCGCCTGCGTGATCGCAAGCAACCAGCGCCTGGTACCTGCAACGCGCATGTGGTCTGTCCTTCGTTCCGTGCCGTTTAGTTCGATCGCGACAGATCGCGAGTCTTGACACGGGAGGATCGTCGCTCGGACGTTATTGGTACAACACTGTTCATAAATTGTACAAAGATTAAATCAGTTTTTGTGCGCACACACACCTACAGTGAAGTGCAGTAAACAGTAAATTATTCATTTCTAATCGCGAGAAGGTACGCAGTAAACGTTACCAGAGAGATTCAAGAGACATTCAGCAACTTTATCGACGTCAAAATCAGTGAGTATCGTATCGTTCATCTATTAGAAGTATCGCGAAAAGGTATTGTCCATACCATATTGGTCTCTGAATAAATCAATATTATCTATAAAAGTGAACTTTTATTTACAGAATTCGTTATATTATACAATAATAATATTTCTGGTACATGTACGCGTATTCATAGAAAATATAGGATATTGTAATCTCCTGCGATGTTTAAAATTAACATTGACTCGATACCGGCACCAATAGTTCCTTTCTTGTATATATATATATTACAAGTGAATTGATTATACGGGCATCTGTATATTGTACATTATAAACTGTTTTCTTCGTATGAAGTCACTTGGCCTGCTACCAGCATTTCTTAAGGAAAAACGAAAGCTTTTGGTGCGAGATCTTCTTTTCTTTCAATGCCAAAATTAATTGCTCATTCTGTTCGATTTTATTATCTATTACGCCCATCTGGCTGGTAATTTGCCTAGGACTTGTTTTTTATGCAACGGCGAATACGAGAGCAAACATTAATTTGCACGCGAGACAGGACTTCTTCGGCCTTGAATCGCAAAAATATCGCGCGCCCTTCACTTTTCTACAGCTATTTATTTAAACAACTGTTTCGCGTAACGATTGCCGTCCAACATCCGGCATGCTTGCTAGTATTGTTAATTGTTAACGTCGCATAATATGTACAGATTATGCGTGAAGTACTAATAAATCACATTGCGCGCGATTTTTGTATATTAACTATACGGTATAAAGAAAATATACTCTGTTGAATCGTTTATCGATCGTAAAAATTCATAATTCGAAGATTATCAAGAGTTGTAAATCACATAAAATGTATACTATAGAAAATTATAAGTATCTATTTGGAAGAGATGCGAGGCGCCGCTCAACGGCGCCATTATCATTTACAGGAAGTACTGTGGACAATATGTATATATATACATATATATATATTTTATATATAAATATATATGTATATCTGTTTGTTCGTTCAACGAGAAAAATATAAACGACTTTTCGGACGCGATTTCGGAACTTACAATAATACTTGGTTACAATTGATATATAATCGTACAATCGTTGCTTGTATTGATTATCAGAAGTCGAATCGGAAAAGCAAAAAAGAGAAAATGTGTAATCGACTACCGATATCCAATTAATCATCACTTCCCGTGCTTAGTGACGTAACACTGTTTCGCAATCTTAACTAATTGATCGAACATCGCACGATCAGTCTCTTTTACCAAAGAAGTGAACTGGCTGTGGCTGTTCTGAAGTAGTATGTGTGGGTGATCGTACTCCTGTAACAGAGATTAAAAATGATTTATCATACGGAAAAACGTTGGATACAGGTGATACGTTATCGCGGATGAAGATAACAACCATTGTGATCGGTAGTTCCCATAATTGTCGTCGAAAACTATAATGGCGCCTAAACCAGTATACATTCGAATACAGACGCGGAAATAGTTTACTAAAATAATTAGCTACTCACCGCCATGTGACCCTTATCCATTACTAACACTTTATCGCTGTCCATAATGGTGTTCAACCGATGGGCGATAGTAAGTACAGTGCATTTGGCGAATTTTTTCCTTATCGTGTGTTGAATTAAAGCATCCGTGTGCGGGTCAACGTTTGCGGTTGCTTCGTCGAGCATGAGTATTGGGTTGTTCCTTAAGATCGCCCTTGCCAAACAAACCAATTGCCTCTGCCCGACACTGTAATTACTTCCTCTGTCGAACACTCGACTGCCTAAACCGGTGCCAGCGGTGACAACAGCATCTTTCAATTCCACCTGTAAATGAAAAAATTACGAATTCATTTCCGTTGAATTTATTCCTGTAAGAAACAAATTCGTTATCGTATCTGGCGAACCTCTTCGAGCACATCCCACAATGCTTTATCCGAGAACTCGTTGAATGGATCTAGATTTCGTCTCAATGTGCCGGAGAATAAAACAGGATCCTGGGGGATGATCGATATGTTGCGCCGTAGATCCTCTAAACAAATAGCACCGGTGTCTATGCCATCGATTTCAATGACTCCGTCGATTTTAGCTAGTCTGAACAGTGCAGCTATCAGCGAAGACTTTCCAGCACCGGTTCGGCCGACAATTCCCACCTGTAACGATTCACATGATCGTTATAAAATCCTATAAATTCCGCATTTAGATCACATAGAAACAAACGAACTTTCTCCCCCGCGGAAATGGCAATGTTCAGCCCCTTCAACACCGGAGGCTCGTCTTCCGCGTATCGCAAATATATCTGCTTGAACTTGATCGATCCTTCTGTGGGCCAGTTCTTTGGAGCATCGGCCGGAATCGCGACGGCTTTCTCGGTCTTTCTCGCAAATTTTCCTCTGTCGCGGAGGTTCGGTTCCGGCGGTACCAGCGTGTACTCCAGCACGCGTTCCACGGACATCATCTGATTAGCCACTTCGGCGTTTTGTCGCATACCCCATTGAATCATTCCGGTCATCGCCATTACCTGGGTGATGGCTAAGCCCACTTCACCTCCGGAGAACGCTGCAAATAGATAATAATGATAATAATGATATTAATCGGTCGTATCACGAGAACATAGATTACAGTAGGAGAACTCTATTGACATCTAAAAGCTCAAAGTAATCCTATAACTAGAATGTACAAGAAGAAAGCGATTATACGTTTGATTATTTAGTAGCCCGCAGAGTTGCTCCGTACAATAATAAGAGTCTTACATTGTTGTAAAAGAAGAAAGCTGAAAGTAACCAACGAAGTGAATACAAGGCAAAATATATCCAGAGAAAATCCAAAGGCAGTGCTTGCTACTATGTACATATAAACAGTGGATGTATGCACGTCTTGTAGCTTGTCGAATTCTTTCTTCAATATCTCCTGCGCGCAGTACGCTCTAATAGTAGTCAGTCCATTCAGCGTGGCATTTAGATGAGTGAATACCGGTGATCGAGCTGAATAAAAAATACCTGTATCAACCTGATTTCAACGAAGAACCAGCTGATGGATCTAGTCTAGCATTACTTACTGATTCCCTCCATTCTTTTGATGTTCTTGCTAGTTTTGAGAAATACCTTCCGTATCCAGTAAAAAACGAACCCCAAGAATACTATCGGAATCAGGAAAAGGGCATTGACCATGCAGGACACGACTAGAGACCCGACCATCATCATGCATATTTGACCAGCGTCAAGTATCGATTTCGGCAGTAATTCATCTATCGCTCCCATGTCTTTGGAGAATCTGTTGAGGATCCTGCCACTGGGATTTGTGTCGAAGAAACGCATACCGGTTCTGATCAACGCGCTGAACGCCATATCGTGCAGCTTTTGACTGCACACGATGCATACTTTGTAGAAGGTTATAGATCTGGTGATCCCGATGATGAATATTCCAAGTACTATAGCCGTGTAAACGTATATGTAAGGGTATGTGGACGACACGTCCGTTGGATCGATCATTGTGTCGTTGGTAGCGTTCAGGTTAGCTTGCTGAATTAAATAGTGTCGCGATTCCTCTGCATTGACTCTGAAAAATATTTTTGACGTTCGTAAAGTAGTCACGGTAACACCGCTGCTAAAAAAGAAAAAACAGTACTCACAAAATCGGAATAAAGTAATCGTTAAGACTGGCGACGAACTGTGTACATATATACAGCAGAAGTACAGTCGTTGCCAGGCACATGTTGGCTCCTGTTTGGAAGTACTTTATGAAAATCGGTCCCTTCACCTGTCCCTTCGATGTCCCTTCCAAACCGTCGTTCAATTTTTCTGCATCCTCGTTCTCCTCTTCGTCGTCGGTACCGCCGCTACTAGCTTCCGGTGTTCGGCTCTACCAAAATGAAAATATACATTTAGTCCTGTAAACGAAAAGGGGGGTTTTTACAATCAAAATAATGCAAGAGCACAAAATGCAACTGACTCTGGTACTCGACGACGAGAATTGTCTTCGCATGCCACTCCTCTCCAAAGAAGAATCATCATTGGTATCGCCCTCGGTCGCGAGCAGTTTACAGTACTCGGGTCGCTTGTCCAATAGATCTTGATAACTCTTGAACACTGTGATTTTCCCTTGTTCGATCAGTATGATGTTATCGACACTTTTCACGTATTGCAGCTGATGGGTCGCCAAAATTCTCGTTTTTCCCTTTAGGTATCGTTGAATGCATTCCTCGAACAAGTGTTTGCTCACGTGTGTGTCGACCTGAAATGGGACGTGACGTTAGCACGATAGATATGTAATTTATTCTATTTCCGCTCGCGCGAAAAAAGAACTACTCACAGCGCTCAATGGATCATCCAACAAATATATATCTGCTTGTCTGTACAACGACCTGGCCAAGTTGATCCTAGCCTTTTGACCCCCCGACAAAGAGCTGCCTCTTTCTCCGACCACCGTCTGATCGCCCTGAGGAAATTGCTTGAAGTCTCTCAAAAGTGAGCACGCTTTCACAACTCTTTGGTAGCGATGGCGATCGTAGGACTGGCCGAAGAGTATGTTTTGTCTAACGGTAGACCCAAAGACCCAAGCTTCCTGACCGGCGTAGCTCAAACTTCCATTAATTTTTACGTGACCTTCTGTCACCTCTATCTCGCCGAGAATGGCAGAAAGGAAGGAACTCTTCCCTGCCCCGACCATCCCAATTACCGCGTATATCTTCCCTTTCTCAAGCTCCAGATTCAGGTCGTCCAGAGTGTTCTCCGATTGACCAGGTTCCCATTTAGCTGTCACATTGTGCATCTTGATCGCGTATGCCTCCTCGTTCACCACGGACAAACGTTTCGTTTCCGGCTGGCCTTCCATGAGATTCGCAGTGTTCTTCAGCAAATCGCTGGCGACCACCACCAAACCGTTGTGTTTCCTTTTCTCCTCCGACCTGTCGAGATTCTCGTAGCCTTCAATCTCGTCATCGATGTACGGCAGATCGTTTCTAGACGTTTTGTTGGACGCCTGTTTCGAGTCCATGTTTATGCTACCGTTCAGACTAGCGGCGAACTTGTTCAGGCTGAACCCTTTCTCCTGGAACTCCTCGTACATCAAGAAGTGTTGCAACCTTCTCACGGCGACCCTGCACTCCGCTATCTCCGCGAAACCACGTACAAACATCCCGGACATGGTGTGCGCTAGTATATTGAAGTAAGAGGAGAAGACGAACACCTTGTCGGCTGTCAACTCGTTGCCGAACAGAAGCATGCTGATCAGAGTGCAATAGAGCGCCATTCTCGTGGTGAACAAATTGAATGTCATATAGATGCCTCGGATGTTCCCGCTCTTTGATACTACTTGCAGTTCCAGTTTCCGTGCGGTTTCAATGAGCGCGCAGAACGGTTTCTCCCACGCGTACATCTTAATTACTTGAACGCCCGATATTATCTCGTCCATTAGTCGCACTCTCTCGTCGGTTTTTATGGCGGTTTGCAGTCGGAACTTGGAGGACAGCTTTCCCGTGTAGGCTGAAATGCGTCATGTAATGCGTAAGTGTTACGCGCGTAACGGGTGCGTTCAGTGTAGAAGTATACGCATAGTCATTACCGAAAACTCACATTGAATTGGCACGACAATGAACACTGCGGCAATGCCAATTAAACCGGCGTAGCCAGCCTCGGTGTAGAGTAGATACGCTATGATCAATCCGGAGAGCGGCGCGGACCACATATGGTGTATAAAAATCGAGACGAGATCGAATCTGTTCACATCGTTCGCCACTAAATTGACTACCTTTCCTGGTGCTGTCTCGCCCAACGCGGTTTTGCTGAGACGTAGTGCCTGTTTGTAGAAACAAAATAAAAGATAAATAAATAATTGTCCGACTGTGCAAACCACACACACAATTTGCCTCATAAATGTATAGCGCGAACGCCTATCGAAAGTATAACGTCTTATAAGAGCTTAGGAACATTTACCATTTTAATTTTAATAGTATTCTATTCAAATAAACATTCTCTATCACGAGAAACACTATACAGCCGTGATATCAAAGAATAAGATACCCTTAACCTTTTAGATACGGCTGAATTCTGCGCGAGGCTATTTCTCTGTACAGAGTCTGATACTGTATATACAGGGTGTCCCAAAAATGTCTCGCAATCCGAAAGTGGCGGGTTCCTCAGGCCATACGAAGCAACTTTTTTCTTTACAAAAGAAATCCAGTTATTAACGAAAAACAGTGACCAATGAGAGGCGAGCTCGGCTGGCGCGTGGCGATCGAGCCAATGAGCGGAACTGGGCTTCGCGCGCTGGTTGGCTGGGCCGCCTCGCGTTAGCCGTACTCGATTCTTATTGGTCACTGTTTTTCGCTGATAACTCGTTAACGGTGCCTCGGAGAACATTTTTGTAAAGGAAGAAGTTGCTTCAAATGATCCGAGGAACCCGCCATTTCCGGATTACGAGACATTTTTGGGACACCCTGTAGACTGTTGTAAATCGATGCGAAGACAAAAGAAGTGTGAAACAATGCATACGAAGACGATTATTTGATTCAAACGATGAGCGAGTGAGCTACTAGAGCAAGCCACTATAGTGGNCCCGCTCTTTGATACTACTTGCAGTTCCAGTTTCCGTGCGGTTTCAATGAGCGCGCAGAACGGTTTCTCCCACGCGTACATCTTAATTACTTGAACGCCCGATATTATCTCGTCCATTAGTCGCACTCTCTCGTCGGTTTTTATGGCGGTTTGCAGTCGGAACTTGGAGGACAGCTTTCCCGTGTAGGCTGAAATGCGTCATGTAATGCGTAAGTGTTACGCGCGTAACGGGTGCGTTCAGTGTAGAAGTATACGCATAGTCATTACCGAAAACTCACATTGAATTGGCACGACAATGAACACTGCGGCAATGCCAATTAAACCGGCGTAGCCAGCCTCGGTGTAGAGTAGATACGCTATGATCAATCCGGAGAGCGGCGCGGACCACATATGGTGTATAAAAATCGAGACGAGATCGAATCTGTTCACATCGTTCGCCACTAAATTGACTACCTTTCCTGGTGCTGTCTCGCCCAACGCGGTTTTGCTGAGACGTAGTGCCTGTTTGTAGAAACAAAATAAAAGATAAATAAATAATTGTCCGACTGTGCAAACCACACACACAATTTGCCTCATAAATGTATAGCGCGAACGCCTATCGAAAGTATAACGTCTTATAAGAGCTTAGGAACATTTACCATTTTAATTTTAATAGTATTCTATTCAAATAAACATTCTCTATCACGAGAAACACTATACAGCCGTGATATCAAAGAATAAGATACCCTTAACCTTTTAGATACGGCTGAATTCTGCGCGAGGCTATTTCTCTGTACAGAGTCTGATACTGTATATACAGGGTGTCCCAAAAATGTCTCGCAATCCGAAAGTGGCGGGTTCCTCAGGCCATACGAAGCAACTTTTTTCTTTACAAAAGAAATCCAGTTATTAACGAAAAACAGTGACCAATGAGAGGCGAGCTCGGCTGGCGCGTGGCGATCGAGCCAATGAGCGGAACTGGGCTTCGCGCGCTGGTTGGCTGGGCCGCCTCGCGTTAGCCGTACTCGATTCTTATTGGTCACTGTTTTTCGCTGATAACTCGTTAACGGTGCCTCGGAGAACATTTTTGTAAAGGAAGAAGTTGCTTCAAATGATCCGAGGAACCCGCCATTTCCGGATTACGAGACATTTTTGGGACACCCTGTAGACTGTTGTAAATCGATGCGAAGACAAAAGAAGTGTGAAACAATGCATACGAAGACGATTATTTGATTCAAACGATGAGCGAGTGAGCTACTAGAGCAAGCCACTATAGTGGCGCGTCGTGCCTAAAAGGTTAACTCTCAACGGACCACATATACTTCTCTTCAACTTGATACTTGATCGCCATCTTTCATTACCTTACGATAAACAACGGAGCACGCTGCAACCCTAACTTTCGCGCCAACGTGGAACGCGCCGAAGATCGTCTGATTAATCGTAATCACGTTTATCGCCGTAGCGATGCAAATTCCCCCTGCATACAAAAGTGCAGTCTCGTACGTTTCAGTCGTGTTCTTCTTGAAGTAGCGCAGCAACCCTCCGAGAAGTATCGGTGTTCCCAATCTAACATTTCAATTGGATATTATTATGAATCAAAATTAGGCTTTTCGACGATTGAACAAAGAAACAATAACAAGTCATGTACCGTAATATAAATTCGTTTAGTATCTGCATCAGGCCAAGCAGACTGTACTCCCACAAAAAGGCACGGAATATGGCCCTCAGCAAACTGGGTCTTCGTTTGCTTTTCTTCGAGTTCTCCAGTTCTATCTTCCATTGTCTAAAAATGAAATTTTTAATCACACGACTTTTAGCAGGATTATGTTGTTGTTAAACGATCGGCCGTCGAAGGTTCAAATCGAACGCGTCGACGTTCATTCTGATACAAACTTCTCTAATCGGTCCCCGACCACGTGCGATCGATCGGTCTTCAATGGATCATACAAATCGTCCGTCTGCAAAACTTTCTTGTAGCCTTTCTTAAACAATCCTATCGTCCACCTGTTAATAACGTGACAATCGATTTATGAAACGTACCAATGGCATCGGTTATTTTACGGTTTGCCCGTTAGTTATCAACTTGCATTATCTGTGTCGTTTCTGAGTAATCGTTTTCGCGGAAACGTTATGAAGCTTTTTAGTTCAAGCATTTTAAACTATCCGAACTGCCGTTCAGATAATTCTAAGTTCGGTGAAATTCATTAGTACGCTTGAAACAAGCGATTATATTGCCAGCGGAGTTTGCAGTTCTTTCGATAAATAAACGATTCGTTCATTCGAAGTATTCGTTGTTATTCTGTATTTTTATAACTCTTATTATATATAATAAGAGTTATAATAATACTATATATACTATATAATAATATAATAATAATAGAGATATGATATATATATATATATATATATTATTATTATTAAAGTTATAATAATATATATATATATATATATATATATATTATTATTATTAAATATATAATAATATATATATATATATATATATATATATATTATTATTATTAAAGTTATAATAATATATATATATATATATATATTATAAGTCTATTATTATTATTATATATATATAATAAGAGTTATAATAATACAGAATAACAACGAATAATGTATATAATAATTATAACTCTCTCTATATATATATAATAAAAGTTATAATTATTATATATATTATTACAAAATAGTGTGCAAGAACTTACCACCATAGTAGCACGGAGATCAGGTTGGCCTTTTCTCGTGGATTCGGGTTCGATTTCACGTTGCTCGAATCCATCTTCCTGTGAGCACCGCATTAACTCACTTCTCGAACAATTAAACGATTCGAACGATACACTTATATATCACTAAACGGAAGAATAAGGTACGATTTTAAGACGTGATTCCAAATTCCGCGCACTCATGAAACCAGGAACAGCGTCAGCAGCGATATAAAACGGAAGCTAAGTTTACGGTCTCTTTTACGATTAATTACCGGCTAATTGGGGCCTATCACTTGAAAATTTACACTAGGCTCTCAGATAAAGCGACAATCATGAGACTCGATGTCACGAAAACTCTTGTTTGCCAGCGTCGTTGGTAAGATTGTTTCAACAAGCAGCTCCGATTTCCTGATAGACCAAGCAGATCCTTCTTCTTCTCTTCCATGAATAAGACGCGTATCGATCAAGCACCTGTATTTAAGGACCAGCAGATTCTGTATCGTGTTTCGAAATGTGTAATTGGGTTTCTCTTCTTTATCTCCGTACGCGCTGCTTTGTCATTGCTCAAACAAGATCGGGAGGGTTGTGTGCGCGCCTCTAACATACGCAATGTTACGTTACAAGGTTCGTAAAGCATTAACTTAAATCTTAATTGATCAACGGGATCCCCGATCCGACGTTTCAGACGTTGGTGGTCATTGTTTGAACAAGACAACTTTACAATATTCGATATGCTCGCCGTTGTTGATTATTATTTTTATTATATTATATTATATTCTATTATTTATTATATTAAATATTATATAATATATATAATATAATATAATATATTTATTATATATTATATTTTATTATTTACAATATTCTATTATATTTAAGTAATATTTGTTATGACGTTGCTCCAGTTATTATTGTGCATTATTTCTATAACGTTATTGGTCAAGGCAGATCATCCAAAGATGCGACCCAACAGTAACTCACTCTCGTGGATCGTTACGGAAACAAAAATGCTGACGGACTATCGAGAAAAATTCGGCATTCGATCAAATCTTCGATCCAAGAGATGCGGATGAATTCATCGATTGCAGATATGTACACCATAAAGTCGAATATCTTAGAATCACGATCGATGATCGATCGATCGATCGACGTGTTGTAGCGCCACGCTCGCGGAATAGTTCGACGATAATTTTAACGAACCACAAAGAATAATTCCTCGTGACTGCATCAGCACGTTTACAATTCCATTATCTCGGAGGAACATCTTCTTTTGTTCAGACACTTCTCGATTCGTGAATCGACTAGATAGAAGAGCCACTTGTAATTGTGTATGTATGTCCACGCTTGTTTATCATTTACTGAAAAATGATTTAAACGGTTTTCTACGTTTATTTATTTATTGGCATATTCGACTGGCCGTATTTGATATCATCGCACGACGACGTGGAAAGACACGAAGTTGTAAATAAATTCAAGAAAGTCGTGTTATCTCGTCGTTCGAATGTTGCACGGAAGTGTCCGCAGTTAAATAATTGTAGTCTTATTTTTAGTTATCGCGTATCAGCCACGACTAGAGTCAATGACGAAGATGAAACGGTGCCAGTAATCATCGTGACGTTCGTGATTCAGCAGAAACAGTATATATTCCTTATTGTCAGCATTCATTCTGGTCACGACAAAAAAGGCGACCACGCAACAAAGAAGTCTTGGCACGCCTAAACGTTGCGAAAAAAAAAAGGAAAACGAATCCTTGATGATTAATTGTTACCGTATTCGTTGCCATGATTCGTATTCTAGACTGATACATATATACATATGTATATGCATATGTTTCCATCGCTTGCTCCTTGTCTGCACGGTTGCCAAGTCGATGGAGCTCTACTGTCGTCACGACTATTCGAGACAAATTCCTATAAATTTTCCATGGGGCATATTGTGCATCATTACGAGTTATGTAATCTCGTTTCTCTACATTCATTGGTTCTCTGGGTCAATCACACAAATATCTAAATTAATACTGTGACTGGCGTGCCGGTCAAATTAATAATGATCCAACGCGAGCCTCTAGCTTCGCTGTTAATCTAAGCAGTTTTCCCCGTGTAAATCTATTTTAATATGTTACATCAAAAAATGAAACACTTCGAACGCGACTCAGCATTTTACATTCGGTGGTTCACTGGTTCTCTGTCGTATCGTGCATCGGTAAGTAGGCGTGCGAAAAACCTTCCACTCATTGCATAGAAAAATAATACAGTACGGTGCAACGATAGTAAACTGCTCGTACTTTCTTTAGGCACGATTCTGTACTCGGAATTAAGTATTATTCCCCTAATAATTCAATGTCACGTAGCCTGACATTTATTGCCTCTTATCGGTTGTGCAAACTTTCGTTTATTTCAGTTGCTACTGTATCCAGATTCGATTCGAGCATGTTCTATAATAAGTGGCGCAATTTCAGATCAGGATGAATAACTTTCAATTTGATATATGACACATCCCAAAACGGTGTATATATGTATTTTCTGAGCAAAATAAAATACAGTATTCTGCATTGTTAACTCTATCGATAAAGTCACGCCCGGTCCATGATTCGAAGATGATCGAATATGTATACAAGAGCTGTCGTAAAACAAGTTCCAACGAAGGTGAATAAACTATCAATTTCTCAATCAAACTTCTCCCCACGATTCATGATTTGAAATCTTGTGCAGCCTGCCTTCATCAATCGACACCGAAAATGTCCTCATGTATGTATAGTTAGTCCTAATCTGGTCACTAACTGTTTCGGCAATCGCACGATTCGTTTTCAGAACAGTTCAGTTCGTGAAAATTTTACTTTTAGATCGGACCCATTCTATTCCCGATAAACGACCTAACAGCAAATAAATTCTACACGATAACAAATCCTAAGAACGTCACGAGTAATCAAAGCCGCTTTGTACACACGTCATTACTTTCGCAAAATATCTTGCGATGTTACAATATCTTCTCTAAGAACACACCCTTACGACCGTTGATGTTCTAAACAAGCTCTGATCTCGGTTGCATTCTAAAAATCGAGTCTGACAATCTGTAAATTCGAACGCGACGCCGCCGATCGAGGAAATCGAACAGGAACCGTGGCGTCCTCCGCAGAGAATCGCAGTGTCCTTTAAAAACAATTGAAGCACGTTACGCAACGGAAAGTTAACCTGAAACATTCAGCGACCGCCGAGAAGGGGCGGCAGAACGAAGCTGACGCACAGCGTCGGCTATCTTTCTCGCGTTATAACGTTGGAGACTCGCGCGACCCGGGATACCACGGGACGGCAGTCCATCGATTTTCGACGCGTTGCCCTTCCCTGTCTTGCTACTTCCCGCCGAGAGACTGCAACGGGTGCTCGTAACCACCGTACACAACCGATTCGCCGCGTAAGATGACGCGTTCAAGGAGCCACGTCGCGCGGTAGAAAAGGACTAGGACCACTCGGTAGTTCGGCCGGCCAGTCTCAGCGGGAAAAGTGGGGAAGCGAAGGATCGCCCCGGCGGGCACGCATGTTAGCAAGACGGGGGGGAAGGGCAAGGGGTTCGTACTGGCAACGCTGCTCGCGAGTCGCGACGCGAATCCAACGGCCAGCTGACGACGTCTAAAAATACATGTCAGTTCGATTATTAATCGCGATCATTCTATTTAACCGTTGCGGGTGTAGTCTTTTAGTTGTGTGACTCGACGCGTCCAATGGAGTTCCATCGAAACGATGCCACGCAAAATTGTTATCGAGACCACAGATGCTGTGAAGGGGTCAATTGCTAACGACACGTGATTCGTAACGGTTAACGCAATACGCTCTCGGGCGCCCGTAATTGAACTGGATCCGAGCTGGAAAACCGAACCGAACCTTTCCAAAATATTTATACGTACATTTCGCATAATTCGACCGATGACATCGACCAACGAATTGTGGTCACTCGAGAATATTCGAAATTAATCTTTTTTATATTTGATTTTTTTTCACCAGCCGAACACAATACTCGAGAGATTAATTTGTCACAACAACGAATACGGAAGCTCTCGTCGCACGTGAAAACATGCGAATAATTTGACGAGAAAATCAACGGTAGAGAAACGGTTAAACAGAAACACGCGGTTCACAACAATACAGCACGTGGTTGATTGCTAATTAAATGACATATACGCGTAACTTCTTTCGGTCAAGAACGGTAACGGAACTGTGTGTATAAATTTGCATATAAAAACAGTGTGGATCTCGGCCAACGAATTTGTATGTACGAATAAAATGTAACGAGACAGCTTTCGCACGAATTGCAGCTTTGATATGACGATTGTAGTGCCAGCTATATGTATGTATATGCTTAGACGAAGAGACCTTTTGAAAGTCCAACTGAATATATTTCGAGCCGGCAAGGTAAGAGTGCCTCGAACCAGCTATTACGTTGTCTCGACGTCACTCGTCAAACGTTTACTTGTTGTTAGTTAGTTAGTTTTGGTCGTTTCGCTTTGTGATTCGAAAGTGAATCGTCGGTGACGAATAGCTAACTCTAGCCTGTTTCATAATGGGACGCTTATATACTCACTGTTTTTTGTCAGTACATAGGTATGCAGTTCGTAATTGGATTTTGCTAGAGTATACGTGTCACATGCTGGAACGAGGGAAATAGAGACTTTCTCAACGGAGAATACGCGTGGAACGAATTCTAACCGACACGCGCGCACACAACACAAAACTTGCGCCGCTAGCCGCTACCAGCCGCTACTGACTGACTAGATCTCACTTTTCCTCTGCTTGGCTCTTCGCACTTCGCGTTGTAACGCACCAAACCATCGCGTACATTATACCAATTCGTTCCTCCTTCGTTGGAGTCGGTGACATCAGCCATAGCCCAGAGCTCTCTTTTCACGCTTAGTCCCTCTTCGATCGTTACACTGTTCTACGTAGAATTAAGCTTGTTTAAATCAAAGAAATTTCATTCGATCCTTTAAGGAACAGATTCGTAGATTTCCCTTTATTGTGAGATAGATATCGGACGTGTATGGGTACCCGAGTTATCGGATTCGGTCAGGTTCGGAAAAAGTCGGGCGGTCTCGGTCGGGCGTCCGTAACGCACGCGAACACTCGGGTCTGATATTTCGACATGTTGGGTAGTCTGATACAATTGGAATTTTGGGCCCAAATCGGCACAGTATTATGCGCCGATGTAATGCATACTTTCAGGGTTTTAACAGTTTCGCTGCTCAGATCGCGCGTCCTATTCTAATCCGAATTTAATCTTACACAGATTCTACCAACAATTATATGTACTTTATAATAATACAATTTTTCACCTTTTTTTAAACGCCTTGTTTTATTATTAAAGGTAGATACAAATCCGAGAAGCTTAGAAAAACAGAATATGCTTTTGCTAGTTTTCTGAAAAAAAAACGTGACATTCGCAAATTCTGTAAAATAATTGTATATAATTAATATGATATTTATAACTGTTGTTGGATACACTAACCGGTCTGCATGGTCTTGAAATATGTTAATAGCGGCAATTATTGCATAAGAACATTGACTAGTTATGATTTTAATAAGATGCTGGAAATGACAAAAAATGGAGAGAGATTTGTTGCCTTGAAAATGTACAAGACTTATGTTTTGCCATGCCAATACATATTTCTAATCTAAAATAATTAATTAATTAATTAATAATATAATATAATATATATTAAATATATAATTATAATTAATTATATATAATTATATTAATTCATATTAATTAAAATAAATTAATAAACGATCTATATTTGCACTATTTAACCTGCATGTGCATTATTTATACAGCATGAGCGTAGCCGATCGCTCACCCTACTTCTTCCGATCTGAACCGAAGCATCAGATAGTTTGAAGGTGTCAAGCTGCCCGAATTTGTCGGTGTGTGTCCGAAATCCCAATTGTATCGGACTATCTGTGTGTTCATTTATTATAGACGCCCGATTTCGTCCGACTCGATTGGACCCGAACGCTCGGTCATCCGATACATAACATAGTCTGCACGCTCCTAAACATATACATGATGCGAATACCGTCTTCCCCTATTTTTACAACTTTGTTGTTAGGATAGAATAAAAAATGTAAACACTCACGGTGTGGTTCTGTGAAGTTCTAAAAAGTATTGAGAACGGATGGTACGCTATGTGTTCATTTTGTCTGGCTAAGTTTAAAAATCACGAAAACTGTGAATGATGTAGAAAAATATTTTATCTTACAATGACCTCGGGCAGTCCCGAGAATGTCACAATTATATTTTACATAAACTGCCACTATATGATGCTTTTCTCATCATATAAGTTTCCAAATAATATGAACACGCTAGATATATATATATATTACATTTTTTGAACAACTACAGAACGACATGTTACGTATGAAAACAGTTTACTTCTTCATCAAAACAGTATCATAGGCTAATTACAAAAATAATCCTATTATTACAATCGTTTCAATACATTAAATGTTTATGCAATATTCAAGTATAATACTAAAGGATGCTTATATGTATGTACATTTATTTGGATCCCTAATCATAATTTCCTAAATCAATTCTTTTAAAAGCATAAACCCCAGGTCTTCTTATAAATATCGTCTATTTCGAATTGTTTCTATCGTTCAGACCTTCAAAGTTTTTCAAACCTCTTACAAGACTTAAAAATACTCTTAGTTTCAGAAGGTTCAAGTATTTCACGATTGGCATATATTATACACATTAGCAGACCTCAAACTTTGGTCAAAGGAGACTATGAAGATACTTCTTCTTTTTACGGATGAAATTAATGAAGTTTAGGCCGCTTGTTCTATACTGGTATAAATAAAGAAATGTTTAAATTGCACTACTCCGTCAGAGCACAACGACACCATGAACTTTCACTCTTTTACAACTGAGTTCAAGGTACTTGTGTGGAGTAATGTGCGCATCATGAGTGAAGCACTTAGATTTAACGTCTGTTTATCCACAAAATTATGTCAAAGTCCGAGTCTACAAAATAGATTACAACCACAATTTAATCGTCAGCTGTTCTAAAAATAAAAAAAAAAAACGAAACCATACAGGTTCTTCTTCTCTATTGCTCGTTAAAGAGCCTTCCTTTTTCATGTATTTCTTTATGCTAAATGCATGATTCGTTGATTTTTTGCTTTGTTGTTACAATAAAAATATCTAATAAAAACTTCTATAAGAATCTACAAAATAAAATAGAAATAAAATAATTACTTAAATGAATTCGTAAGTTGCCGTGTGTAGAGATATTATTTTTATTACAAAAAAAAGAAGAAAAAAAGATAGCTCAATACTTCTACGAGATACTGTGTCGATAGCGCTTATACTCAATCGATACTCAACAATAATTTTATCGAGTTTGAGGATTCGATATCATCAGTAGAAGTTTTTCGTGAGCGTACGACAAGTTCTTTGCCAAACCCACACAGCATCCATTCTCTTGTATCGTTTGGAATCTATACGTCCTGAAGTTCTTTTCTGTGTCTATGTAAGTCACTGCTGCCATTAGTGGACACATAATAATTTTCGAATGATCAAGGAAGTTTATCTATAAGGACAATAAAAATAAATTAATAATAAATAAAATAAAATAAATTAAATAATATGAAAAAATTGGATAGATAATTTTAAAATAAAAGGCAGCCAATTTTATAATGTTGATGGCAGAACTTCGGTTTCGCTTACTTGCACAGTTCCATTAGTAAGTTGCATAACTACAGCACTCTGTGTTCTAAACCATTGATGCATGTACGGTATCCTGGACATGGCATCACTTGGTTTCACGGCGACAGAACTTCCAGCTTTCATTAGATGTTCTTTCATGTACTTCAAAAAGAAGTTCATCAATTTCATCTTTTTCTCTAATTCCGGAGGGTATTCACGAACAGTGTAATACAGCTCTTTTCCTTCGCGATTTATGTAATGAATATTAAAACAGTTAGCCAGCATGATTAAGCGGGTACCGTCATTATACATAACACCAACGCCGTCATCGGAAAGTTGATAGCCGAAACCATACTTGTCCGAATAGTCAACCCATTTACTTATCCATATAACAGGCTGCGCAGCAGGATCAGTCATTTCATCTAAATAATTTCAATTAGGATTATCTTTAATGTAAACTTTGAAGATACTTATATAAACAAAAAAAATAAGAGGAACGCTTGTTCGTACACATTTCAGTAAATATTTCATGCGAGAATCAATATTGTAAAGTACCTTCTGATAACGTTGCCTCTCTACTTGGATTAGCTTTCAATACTGCAGCCAGCTGCTCCCTTAAAGTCCGAAGCATGTTCTTATTGTCATGATTTAATTTTTGAACTTCGTTTACCGTTTCCGTCGGTTTTGTCTTATGTCCAGGACTATTTGGAACTCTAAATACAAAGTCTTGTCCTTCGACTATATTAATGTTCATTTCAGATAATGGTTTGCGTTGATTGTGCATTTCTAACATATCTAAGCGGGGCGCCATCGTTAGACACGATAGCGGTAGGCTCATTGGCATGAAACCTGGAAAAAAAATGTTCAGACTATCAATACTGGATCCTTCTAGCGATAATATTTCAATGTCACGATAGAACCGCATATTTACCGCTAGTAAAGAATTGATCTTTCATTAGTTTGCCTATAGATGGACGTTTGGTTGGATTTCCTTGTAGCATATTCGTTATCATAACCATGGCAGTGGAATTGATATGTGAAGGAATTTTGTACTGAACTTGCTTAATTCTAGCATAAGTTTCTCTTAAACTGGATGTCTCGAATGGTGGTTTTCCTACAAGTAAAGTGTACATAATACATCCGATGCTCCATATATCAACTTCGTAGGAATGACCAGACTTAGTCAAAATTTCTGGTGCTATATAATTTGGAGTCCCACAAACTGTCCTGTAAAAGAGACAAAAAGTTATATTTACTTTTATTCGTCGATCGCACATACGATTGTGTGTAAGCATTACTTCTTTCGTTCTCCTTCATGCTCCAACCTAGTGGCCAATCCAAAATCACCAATTTTAACTTGCAGATCGTCACTCAAAAATAAATTACCTAACTTCAGATCTCTGTGAATTATTTTATTTTGGTGCAAATAATTAACACCATCTAAAATTTGTTTCATATAATATCGAGTCTCGCATTCTGTTAAGGCTTTCCTGCGTTTATGCAATTCCATCATTGACTGGAAATTAGAATGGTTACTTTAAGGATACAAGTACACACACAAACAACCTGCTAATTATAATATAAAAATAATTTACCCTTTTACGACATAGTTCTAAAATTATATATATATTATGGGCATCGTCAAAAAATCCATAAAAACCAACAACATTTTTATGGTTTAAAGTTTGATGAATCGAGATCTCTTGTGTCATTTTTTCCCTATGGTTACCCTTTGTGATTTGTGCCTTTGGGACAATTTTTCCAGCATACACACGGTGCGACTTTGTTTCCCTAATCTCGTAACATTTCGCAAAGCCACCCTAAAATATTATATAGGCTATAAGACGCACATCGGCAGGATTCAAATGTATGTTTATTTCACTAATGTACATTGAGGTTGAGTAACAAGAATGGCAATACAATTACGTTTTTTTTTCTGTGTCATGTTTTAGTACACTCTCTATGCAATTCATAATTACTACATCAACAAGGGCTAAGATTTCTAAGCACGATCAGATAGACAAGCTGTTTCGTCAGAATAGGTTGCAAATCAAATAGAGTGAAAAAAAGAGGACAAGAAATGTACTCGCTTACCTTTCCGAAAAATCGACATTTGATATAACTTTTTCCCGAGTGTACGTCGTATATAACGTCCGGGATAACACATTCCTTCTCGTCTTTCGACATTTTGATGAAGATTGTTATTCGTCTCTATTATTTGGACAGCGTGCGAGCAGTCAAACTTAATGTTTCAGTCTCGGTTTCGGGACGGAACGTCCAGTAATTGTGTACCACACGAATTTCACCGTTGAATATCTTCCGAAATGCAAACTACAGTTTTTGTCTCGCGGAAGACAAGCAACGGATTTCAATATTTAAATCCCAACTTCGCAACCAATCGTGCAATTGCCCGCGTAAAGTTAGCCAACATGCGGACACACATTCCCTATGACATGTGAGTCCAATGTGTGGTCCAATGGGTTTCTAAAGTTTTGTAACTAGAATAAAATTCCTAGCGGTTTCGATCTATTACATGTTGCGTGTCTGCCTTAAAGCTACGTTGTATAGGCGCCAATTTAAAATTATTAATACATAATTTTTAAATTCACTTTAAAAATAAATCTTAGTATACATAATATCAATACACAAAAAAAAACATAAAGAAATTTATTTCTATATTTGTAAACATATCACATGCCGTTCGTAAGCACATGCTTGTCTCATTTGCTAAATTATCTACCGTACGTACATATAATGGAAACACATACGTATTGCGACGTCTCGTGAAAATAGGCCTTAATGGAAGGATATCCGGCAATGTCGGTGTAGCATGTAATTCGAGTGGCAATGGTCGATGCTTCTTTTTCCGGGAACCGGCGTCCATTTTCCTTGTTGGCTTGTCTAAAGTTGGCGCGTTCCTCATTTATGAAAGGATTATTTGTTGTTCTGTGAACCGTAAGTACTCTTCGATTCAAGCAAATTGTATCCGATAAACGATATCTTTATGCATTGTGATTAAGGTTTTCGATTTATTACGAAAAATACGATGGAAAAAGGAAAAACACTTTCGGCTTGACGATGGTATCGGATGGCGTCTATAGAGTGATTTAGAAATTGGGCAAATTGTAACCTCGTCTAAAATTCGGACTACTCAGTCTTTCCTTCTTATAAAATATTGAATCTTGTCTCGTGCTGGAGTTTTCTTTCTGTTCGAAAGGTTAAAACACAAAATTGAATCGTCGATATCATCTTATAATTTACATTGTTTTAGTTGCAATTTGTTCGTTTTCAATTTTAGGCATATAAATAAATGGAGGGTGCTTCAGCTGGTAGAGGTGGCTTCCGTGGTCGTGGTGGCCCAGGAGGTCCCATGAGAGGACGCGGCGGTTTTGGAGATAGAGGAAGGTAAATGTTCAATAATAATTTTGATGATGATTTTTGCAAATATGGAATTTGTCCATTCAACAAATACGTTTCCTTTAAAAGAAAGTTAATAGGAAGAGAGATGTAAAGCGTTACTCACCATTTATGAATATTTAAGGGGTGGACCGCCAAGAGGTGGAGGTATGATGCGAGGCGGTCGTGGCAGTGGTCCTGGAGGTGGCATGAGAGGCGGACCGCTTGGAATGAGGGGCAGGGGAGGTCCTCCAGGAAGGGGTGGACACGGCGGACATTTTCCTCCTGGGTACAGTATACCCAGCAAATAGCACTGTTCGTTGCATATTTTTTTATTTCTATGTTTGACTTTGAATGTATAGAGGTCCCCCAGAACCAGGAATGTCTAGTGGACCCGGAGGCAGTGGACCACCAGGTCCACCAGGAATGGGAGGTCCCCCACGAGGTGGTAGCAGAGGTGGAGGAAGTACTGGCTTCCGTGGCAGAGGAAGAGGAGACTTCTCAAGAGGAGATAGCCGTAGAGGTAGTAGTAATTTCCGTGGTCGAGGAGGGATGGACAGAGGCAGTCGAGGAGGATCCAGGTATGATTGGTAACTACTTTTAAATTTTTTATTTGAATGCTCCCTGTTTAATTTATGTATTTGAGTGTCTCCTCCCCTATAGTTTCCCATTGCGTTTTCAATTTTCTCATTGTATTCTAAATTATAGGGGAGGATCTGGTAGGGGTGGACCAGGAGGTAGAGGAGGTTTTGGGGATCGTGGAAGCAGAGGCGGCAGTGGGCGTGGCGGTCCATCGAAACGCGGAGGAGGTCCACCAGGTTCCAGTGGACCATCCAAGAGACCAAGGTTCGATCAACCATCTTCTCAACCTGCAAATGGTTATGCGACTCAGCCACCTAGGTAACTATATTTCTTTCAACATGTATTCCGAAAACTTATTCGGAAATAAAATCGTATTCGTGAAAAGTGAAATAATTAAATTACAGTCAAGGTGGATACGGAGGAGGTACTAGTAATGCGTATGGCGGTGGTCAGCAACAGCCGCAACAGCAGCAAGCAGTAGGATACGGCGGAGGCTATGGATCACAAAACTATACTCAGTCTTCTTACCAAGGCTACGAAAGTTATCAGCAGCCTCCAGATTATGGCCAAACAGCAGTGAGTCATTTTAATCAATGTTCCACACGATTCGCGTTAGTTGTAATATCGATGTAACTTGAGATATTTCTGTCTGCGTCTATATAGGGCTATCCACCATCGACCGCAGCCGATAACAGGTATGGCGGAGCACCTACCGTTCCTGCAACAGGAGCTTTCAGTACTGGTGATCCCTACAGCTATGGCAAAGCACCACCATCAGGTTAGTACAGAGCAGTAATACTAGATGGTTTTTGCGGTACTTTGTCAATTCTTTAAATCAAATAGTAATAAATGATTTTTATTGAGTAAAATTTCAAAACGGTAAAATTAATAAATTGTAACTGTAATTGGATCTTTTGTTCGATCTACTAAGCTACTAATAGATCAATAATATTCTGTTCATCGTGTTTATAGATTACTCGAATCAGGATGGTGTATACGGCAAACAGGATTATGGTAAGTACAGCTCACATTCCAACAGACATTATTAAATTTTGAGAGGCAATTTTATATTACAAGTAAGAAGTTTAGGCTCGTCTATAAATAAGCCGTTAGGGAAAACAGTTCTTAGTATAACAAAACGAAAGTAAATGAAAAACTAAGAACTAAATTGAAATGAGAATTTTTCATTCTCGAAAGCAAAAGAAGCAAATATAAAAGACAGAAGTTTTAATATTGAATGCAAGAATTACAGTATTTTAGTACAGGTTTATTTTTAATATATTTTTCGATACTGCAAAAAAAAAACATGTATGTAGAAACTATGTGTCCCTACGATCAAGGGCGCAAATATTCTATTTAAAAGCATATTCAATTAATTTGATGACGTACTAGTACCTATTCATCTAAAGAAATACAGAGTACACAGTATTTGAATTGCATGACGAATAATCATATTAATGAAAACAGAAATTCCGAAACAGAGGGAAAAACCGTGTACGTGTAGTTGATCAATTTTTCTGTGACAATTAATGTGTGTATATAAGTATATAGAATTTAATACAGAATCAAATAACAAAGTTATGCTTACAAAATGATTGAACGGAGGAGCTCTATGGTTGTTCGCAGGTGGCAGTGCTGGTTACCAAAACGCCCAGTCTCAGCGACGTTATTAAATTACACATTCAACTATTTAATTTTATACGTTAGATATCCAGACTTTTTTCCAAATTTAACGAAAAGAAAAATATATATATAAATATATATAGATATCATTCCTGGCGCGTGAAAAGTTGGACAAATGTTATTTGTCGTGAAGTATGTGTACAAGTATTTTACATTTAAACAATTGAACATACAGTGGTTTTTACCATAATGGAGAACAGAAGGGAGCATGATCCGCAATGATCAGATATTTTATGTTTCCTATCTTTATCGCGCGCTCATGGAGAGAAAAATTAATTTAAATATTGCGCGTTAGAGCGTAAACGATCATTTATGATTATGATTAAAAGTATAAATGACAAGAGCGTTTTATACTTGACTAGCAACATAGCATCTACTTTGTCATGTTTGACTAAAATAACTTCGTTTAGGATTAAGTTTAGTTTGGTGTACAGTCGAGATAATCCACGATTGTAAAATATTTAATATTAAATCGAGTACATACATATATACGTATATATATATATATATATAAAAATACATATTAGTATAAATATATATATATATGCATATATATACACACATACACTAATGCCCACACACTACGTACACATATAATTGTCTGCATTGTAACAGTAAGGTACAAAGATGTTTACACTATTTGTAAAGTCGTTAAACAGTTGATCATTGTGAACACAGCTCAATTACCGCTATGAATTCTAGGAATAGAGTAAAACGAATACTATCATATGTTCTGTATAAACAAAGAAAAAAAAATGAGAGAGAGAAAGTAATTGTATTTCGTGGTGTATTTCGTTTACATATTAACGTATGAATCAAGGAATTCTAACATGTATCGGGTCATAACACCGTTCATAACTTGTGCGTTTATTAGAGCGATTACCAATTTTTTGACATTTTCTGCAAATTAACAATATAACGATACAATAAATCAGTCTTATTGTTGCGATTGTTTTCATTTCGTGTCTTTTTTTTTATAATGGAGGAGCAATTTTGGTGTGAACTGAGCGTAATACTCTGCTTAGAAGTGACAAGACAAGTGGTAATATATGTTTGTCAGTATCATGAAAATCGAATTACATGTTTTAGGATGGTTCGAAGAGTATTTCAATATAGGGTGATATGTATTAGTAGAAATGTCACACTGGCAGAGACAATCATAAAATACTCTAGAAGCTGATCAGAGTAAATCATATGTATTAAATTGAAAAAGTATATGCAGAGTAATTGTCCAAAGACAGCATAATGTGCATGAATAGATCAAAGTAATTTGTCCCAGCCAATTGTGTACATTAAGGTACAGAACCATTTGCGTAGGGCAAGCAATGAAATCTATTTCCACTTATTATATCGATAACTATCAAATGAATCGAAGTGTACTGAAAGTCTCATTGTCGCATGATGTCATCAGCATAGTAATAGTAAATTGATTTAGTATTGTAAGTAAAATAGTCTAACGATTGAAATGAAAACAAACATTGAAACAAAGAACCATAAAGAAAAAAAAACAAAAAAAATTTCAATACTTTTTCATATTTCTTATTTCTCCTCACCTTCAACACGAAAGATCACAGACTTAATTGTTACTAGCAAATGAAATTGATCAAACCAGCAACTGCCATAAAGAACCCAGAATGATCTCAACTTGACAAGAGAACATAACATGCTTATATGAGCGAAATGTAGGTATGAGCCTCTTTATTAAGACCACGATCTTTCTCAGAATTAATCTTTTTTGTAACGTTTAAATGGAGACTAAAAAAAACATACGCAAAAACAAATAAAATTTTTGTTTGTTGTACGTATACAGCTTGTTTGAAAAATATTTTTTAGTCAGAGTGCGATGTTTGTCGATTTTAATCGTCTGTTGGTGAAAAATTCTAGGTGTATAAAAAAAATTTGACGAAAATTAAGTTTATTTCACAGGCGTAGCAACAACCTGAGATACGTAGGGAACACAAAGAAAGAAAGAGAGAGCATACCTTCCCTCCATTACCAGCAAGGAGATACCGAATCTGTTAATCATACAATAGAGTATACAAATAAATGACGACTGATATGATAAAGTTATTATTGACCAATGGCACAGGTACCGCACACATTTGAATGAAATCTAGAAAATGTTATTTCTTCTTTTAGACTATTATATATATAGTACTTTCATTAATTAGAAGTTATATCTTTATTTCATTTCCTAACAAGTTGATCGGTACTAAATAGTATTTGATCGTTTCTTATGATGCACCCAATTTTTTTATTGAAAGCATATTGTCACGATTCTTTTTCTATATAAATAATACTGATCAGTGAATCTCTATTCTCTTACAAGTTACCGTGTACAAAAATTCAGTAAAGTTTCTTGCGCATATGCATAGCTGTACGTATGCATACATACATATTATATGTACATATATGATATATATATGTATTGAACAGAAAGCACACATTTAAGACAGAAAAGCGAACAGTTTCTTAATAAACAAGGGAAAAGCACGCAAGAGAGCTATCAAACTAAATCTATGCTAACATGTATTATATTTATAATATATTAAACAAAACAAAAATATATATACAAATGCCCGAATAAACCTCAACTCAAGCTCAGGTGAGTAAATATAAATCTATCCGTTTCTTAATAAAACAAAGCTATCAACTTATTACAAAGAAAATGTTAGCAAAGATAAATGCTACATAAACCTGCATCTATCGAGTGTAAAGTGGAGTTATTTATATACGTAGACAGGGTCATACTGATATAACATTCAACAGGAATATGGATGATTGTGATTTTTTTACATTCGATGTACTTTGCAATAATTTATCGAGTATATACATAAGATGTAGGAAAACAGATTGTTTACTTTTAATCAAGTAATTCAAACTACGCCATTTCATTGGAACATCTGAACCGCTTTATACGTGCGATACCTGCAGTATTGTATACCGCAATAGTAACATGAGAGGCAACAAATTGCAAGAAATACTATTTGAAATTTTTTTCCGAAATAAACTGTTATTTTACGAAACCTGGATTTACTGCTAAAACAATAAGACAAGCAGGGAAGGAATATACTGAATATATATCAACGAAGAGAACTTTAAGAATAATAATAAGAATAACAAAAATAATAATAATAATGTGTGATTTAAGTATTATTGTTTGTAAGCGAATATTAGACAATAGGTATATCGAGTATCTATAAGTTTAAATTGCTTCTGTTATCTACTGTCTTCTTTCTAATTCCGTATTATTAATTTCTTTAGGTTGATAACATCTGTATTGTCGTACAACGGTGGCACTACCATTGTTTGAGCCGAGCAACATCTGCCACATGACTGGCACCTACTTTGTTTTTCAAGAGGATTCGAGTGCTCTTCACTCTCACAAGAAACGTATTACCAAAAGGTACCCAGATGTTGTACTTTGCATTTAAAAGAAAGTATTTTTGACGTGGACGCAAACTCGCTAGCAAACTGCGACCTATGATAAAAAAAAAAGAAAATAAACGCCGAATTTCTGCAAACTTGAACAGGTTTTGACGTAACTTTAAGCTCATAAAAAATTTCCTTTTATTCTTGTTAATTATATTTTACGATGACCTTAACAGTACACGCAAATGTTATAAACAATATGAAAATGTACAAAACTGAATAATATAAAAAACGCAATAACATGCATTAATCTTACTGACTCTTCTTAAAACTTAACATCACATCGGTAATCGATTTAGCTTAAGGCAAATCGGCAAATGTACAAAGATATAATGTCATTGCAAATTTCATCCGCCTAGATTACACTTACAACTCAACATTATTCCTTTGTATATATACTCCGTGTTCTCGTCTATTATGCACCTTCAACTTCATTATATAATTTATATTCAATCGTCGAATATGTAATAAAAGGAAGAAAATAAATGGAAAATAATGGTCGACACCATGTACGCATATCGAAATTCTATGAATCAGATTATCACTCGTGAAACGTGTGTGTATGGGTACAATTATAATTATTATAAAATTAATAATTATAATTAGATTAAAATTAAGCTTACGATTAAAACAAATGCAACGTTGCATCGCATTTCGCAAAATGGCGCAAAACGAATGTGATATTATCACATTCAAGAATCATCTCCTTGCAGTCACTCCATGGCACAATGTAGTTCAAAAATTTGTACTGTGCGTGATTCTATCACTGACGATTTCTGTGGGCGTTATTGGACAACAGTACGAGTTGTATGTAACTGTGCCCTTCTCGCATATTTATTAATCTAAAAATTATAATTCCATAGCAGATGTGTGAATAATAAGCTTAAAAAGAACATGAACTAATTTCATTCTTACCGATTTTTCTCTTGTTGTTGTATGTGAACTCTGTCACCTCTCTGTAATAATGTAATCACACTGGTGTAACATGACACTTCTGTAGCTGATGCGGAAGACGCTGTAGAACACTTCACTAGTTTCTGAGTCTTGGATTCACCTTCCGAACTCAGAAGTATCCAATATGAGTAATTAGTTGGTTCGCCGAAATAAAATATCTGTAAATATCCGGAGGTTCGATTGATCATTCAATTTTCAAGTGGCACTACATATGATAATCCTGAAATATACATAATATACATACCTGAGCAGAGATCATGTACAGACCAGTCGCGGTAACTTCTATAGACTTCTTGTCCTCGACTAAGTGGAATTTATTTAAACTATATTGAGTATTGTTTTTGGTGCTCTTTACCCACGGTCCGATATAAACTAAAAGAAGCAGTTCGATTAATAGGTCATTTTATTAATCGGAAAACATCGCATGTTATAAATACACACCTGTATCTGTAACATGTTGCTCAGGAATTGCACCAACAAATGTTGCCACTAGAGGACCTGAATAACAAAAAAAGAGAAACAGCATTTGAAACATGTCAATTTTACTTTCTATAACAGTAAGAACAATATCTACTTGGATGGTCTACAAATAATTGTTATAAAGGGTTTAGTTGCTAGGAATGGAGGACATATGATAGAAAATACATGCTAACTAAATAATACTAGATACCCAATCGCCTGCGACTGCGTTTGGGCCGCCTTTTGTTCTTTCCCCGTTTTTTACCTCTTCCCTCGTCTCTTCGAGACCTTCCGGCTCGAGGTTCTCTCCTTAATACTAAATCGTCATTGACGTAGTCATTGTCGGTATCGTTATCGCAAACAACAGTCTCGCCGGAGTTCGAATCTGTTCGTTCTTTCGACGAATTTCCCTTGTCCATCGTTAATATCGCCCTTTCAATACGTAAATTAGACACGTCGTTGTTCTCCAGTTTCTTGCCGTGTTCCGGCGTTGCTAACGAGTTCGAGCTCGTTTCTTCGTTCTGATAATCGTTCGTGCTACGAACATCGGCGTGCGACGGCTGTTCGTTCTCCGAAGGTCTGACGGGATTTAAATATTTACTATGCACATTATAAGCGTACGAGGTTTCCTTTGTTTCGTTACGAATACCGTCAAATATCTCGATGGCTTCGGTGATCGACGAAGCGCCCTCGAGGAGCTGTTTGATCTCGTGCATGCTCCTACGATCGTGAGATTTGTCCAACCGATGAAACCACGCTCGGTTCAAACTTCTGTTCAGTCGGTCGTATTTGGACATCAATACGAGCAAGTTCACGTTCACCGATTGCATCTAAAAATATAAGTTTCTAGTCAGCGTTAATCCTCTCTTTAAGGCTTGCGATTTCCTTTAACGTTTGCAATGGAATGTCTTTGTATCGAATATTCCGCAAAGTATATATAGTCATCGGAATTGCCGCTTAAGTTTCACGAATAGATTCTTTTTTTGATTTGTCATAATTAGTCTCGACCTGGCGCACGCAAACATTAAAATTAACATTTTATTTTTCACATTTATGATATATATATATAATATTATCTATATAATATAATATAATATATAGGAGGTGCGATTATAAATAATAATAATAATTATTATATATATTATATGAGTATAATTATATAATTATATATATTAATATTATTTATATTATATATATATATATATATTATATGATATTTATGATAATATTCACATTTATGAATATTACATCCTGTTTGCAGCAGACATTTGGAAAGTTAACTTTCGAAGCGATCGGATAAATACAAAATTTATACGAAACATAAATTAGCGAATTTAATAATCGATCTGTATATTTTGAATTTCATTACCTGTATCTGCAAGGCGCGAACTTCCTTCCTCAGGTGAGATAGTATAACAGCGAACACGATCGCCAATAGGAAGAGAATAATTCCGCGCGATCTTTGGAACATTTTTGATTTCTTCACGTTCGACACGGTCACGTTCATGTCGACGTTCAATTCGATAAAATTCGTCGAATCTTTCGCGGGACCAACACCTGGCTGCTGGTCAATATCACCCCGGACTCGTTCCATTTTAATTCTCGTGACCATCCGGACGTGTACCGACCATACGTGCCGGTCAATCACACGGACTAGTTTCTACAATAATCACACAAATGCCCTGAAACACATTCTGTATTCGCCACAATATCTTTCACGAATATTTCGTTGTCGTTCTCATCGTTATCCTCCCACGTTCTCGAAGCCACGTTTCGCACGGTAAGTCAACGACGATGTTTCATCGGAAGCATTTTATCGATGGTTGTTAAAACAGTCGATCGATTATTTTTCGAACGGTTCGGATCCACGTGCACGAACGGTTTAGAACGAAACGAAGAGATAACGGAACAGGGTACGTTCTCCGTGCACTTGATCAGAAACTGAGAGATCTACTGCATGCAATTGTTAACAAGAATGTGCATATAAAGACTTTATTCGTCATACTTTGCAAGTTTGCTGACTGGTGCACGTACAAATGTGTCATAGCGATAACCGAGAAAGTATAACGCTATATCGCGCGTTTGTAATCTCATTTGTAAACCAATCTTGACAATTTCTAATCTTACTCGACTTTCATTTACCATTATCACTTTTCATTATTGTTGGAAATGTCGATAAAATCAAGCTCAATCATCGAAGCAGTCGATTAATCGTTTAATCTTAAATCAGAGATTTGTGTACGTTTATGAATGAAAGTGCAAACTTCCCTGCACAATAGTGTTCTGATTGAAAAAATTCAAGTTATCTCACACTGAATTCCATTATTTCAGATTAGAAGTTTTTCTAATCATCTCTTTTCGCGACAAAAATACAAAATTTGATATTTTTCATAGAGCGAGAGAAAAAGTAGGCGTGCATAGATACACATAAAATTGTTAATTTTGCAATTATGAGATAGAAAAATGAGAAGCGTTTAACCTGTTTATCCGAAGATTTATTTACCGACATTTCCTTCTCCGTGGAAAATTGCTTGCAATATCCACAAGACTCCGGTCACTGAGCGGTCGTTAGTTTTAGTAAGGGATCTCGCTTACCTAAGTAACATGTTCTCGGTTCTCCATAGGAAGCACCTTCGACGGAGCAACAGGTGAGGATAATCGATCTACGAGAGGCTACCTCGTCTTCCTGGCTATTGGCAGCGTGGCCACCGAGACCGAGACTCACATTCTACAGGTCCGAATGTAACCGTTCCTGACCATCTTTTGTTTACTCAGCCAGTATGCAACCAAGCGTCGTCTCCAAGCCTTGCGACGAGTCCGTCCACTTGACCGGTTTGGCTGGGTTTGGCGGCTCCTCGGTACGAGCGCTGCCAACATACGGTTGGCAAGAAACTATGTTAACTGCCTTTCACTCGGAAGACAACGAGAACAATGGTTGATAGTAAATTCGTACGCCCCCTTCGTTTATTGTATCCTATTTTATTACAAATTTTCTAACACCATAAATTATATTATTCCGATCAGGACTGGTCGCATAATCGTAAAAACTCCACGACACAACGATTCGTGCAACGTGCGGAAAGAGTCGCAAATTCTACTGAGATATCTGCTCGCGTCTAAGCGAAATATTTGATTCGAAAGGGTGGATGCGAAGGACTACTAAAACGATAAGATAAGGCACCTAGTCGCAAGTGTACACACACGAAGAATTCAAGAGATTCGCAGGGGAACGATAGTGAAATCTAATATTCTGAAAGAACGGGAATCTCTTCGGATTCCCACCTCTATAAGAAACTCGTTTTCAAGGACGACGGATCCTTGCGTTGCGTAAAATTGACCTGGATCCATTCGGTCGCTCGTTTCGATGATTTTACCCTTTTAAAGCGACTCTATAGGTCCACTCTATTTGAAATATTTATTTATATTTGCATCAGCGATTTTAGATTCATAAGCAGGCTTTACTTATAATTTTAACCCTCGTAACGGGATCTCTAGAGACCTTCCTATTTTATCAACAGTGACGAGGCTGCGTGTGTATTAGTGAAATATCGATGTGAGTCGTGAAAGACCCCATTACCGTAGAGCGAGTGACCATACTCTGAGGGTTAAACAGTTGTTACGATGGAGGCCCACCAGAATGCAAATCCCGCTTAGTCTATCTATCTTGTGGCTCTAGATAAGGGGTTGATAAATTATGATAGTGCAAGTTCGAAGAATCAATATCTAAACGCGTTCATTCCCTTACCTTTGCAATACTGCTTCACCGAATATTTATGAAATCAAATAAACATTGTTCAAAAACTGAGCCTCCCCTTTGTTACTATTACAAATTTTTACATGCCTTGCGATTTTTACTGCTATCTTACCTTCCATGTCATAAGGCACTATATATTTTACGGCAACAATCATTTTTTTAAATAAAAATAGCATCTCCGCATCTCCGTGGTAAAATATTCAAAGTGTAAAATTTCCGTGAATTCGCATCTAAACAGAATAAAATTGTAAGTTGTTTGAAAATAGAACTTTCCGTATTTCCAGAAAAATTCTTCGAAATCAAAAGCATTGAAATATGTATTTACGTATGTATATTGTGTATTTTTTTATTGAGAGATTGTGGCGCCTCTGGTGGCGAAATCAAGAAGACCGTACAGCGACAATTAGTAGGCGACGAAACGCCCAAACTGCTAGCGAAATCCAATCGTCGCTAATTTTGTCTATCAGCTTCATTGTTTCGCCGCTAGGCTAATTGGCGCTGTACGGACCGTGAACGGAGCTTCGAGATACTGCCACAGTATAGACGCTTTTTTTCATGGGGTGAACAATGCTGTGAACGATTTAATGTTGATTCGTTGAAATGCTTTTGTTTTGTAAGGCTCATGTTATTTATATGTAAATATCAGGATATGAATTTTAAGAAGGGGCATTTGTATTTTTGCGTGGGTTTAATATGGTCGCCCAATTTATGTGTACATATGTATACTCTTGATTAGAGATTTCAATGAGAGTTTCATATCTGATATAGCATTCTGTGTTAACAAACTGTGATAATAAACTGTGTTTGTACATATACATGCATGCTATGCATACTATTGCATACACGCATTTGGCGGAATTGGTGTGTAGCGAGTTAGGTCCTTGAATGGTTTGTCAACAAATATTTCGATTTTGTAACAGAAATATTTACGAAAAAATGGACAACGATAAAAGTACTATGCTGGCGGTTCTTCAACTGCTCAGAAAATATAATCTGAAGGTATGACAATGATAATTTGGCTATCGAATGCTGTTTAACCTCAACAACCGTATTATAAACATTGAGCGTTATCGCGGACGCACAGCAATTATTATTAAATAATTTAAAATTGCAATGTGACACACAGACACGATTAATTTTTTCACAGGGAACAGAAGAGTTATTTAAAAAAGAGGCGAATTTGACTGACATTTCTGCGGATGAAGCTCAACAGACAGACTCCGAAGTTAATAGTGTTCTCTCTGCGTACAAGAGCGAAGGAGATCCTGCACTCTATGAGAAAGCGTATAGTGAGCTAAAAAAATTTGTAGAAGGTTCATTAGATATATACAAGGTAAATTATTGCGTACGCGTTAACTGTATTTAACGAAGCCTATGAAGGATCTGAAATGTATTTGTTATTGAAAACAGCATGAATTGGGTACTATATTATACCCAGTTTTGGTACATATGTACCTCGAATTGGTATATAATAATCACTCGGAAGAAGCGAAGCAGCTCTTGGAAAGATTTGGAGGAAATTTGGAGGAATATTATCAAAATGACTTGAAAAGACTGTCTAATGTTACCAGACGCGAGCAGATGGCGGGAAACGAATTAACCGATACTTTCAAGTATGTGCTTTCTAGCTATACATAAGCGAAATACAATTGCAAATAGATATTTCGTTGTACAAATTCTATAAAATGGTCCACAGATCAAATCAGTTCATAATTAGGATGTCAAGAGACACACTTTCGATAATAAAAAGGCATCTACAAGAAAAAAAACACAGCGTGCTGTTGAACATTATACAAGAACATTTGTATTTTGATATGTACGAAGGAGTAGCAAGAAATAAACAGCAAATCGATGCCACTTCGGGTGCTGTAGTAGGAGAAGCAACGAGACAAGGTATTGGATTTTAAAAAGATCCCAGCAATTCAAAGAAATTAAAACGACTTTTATCACAGACAATAAGGCCAAGGTGTATTACGGACTTCTAAAGGAGCCGGACATCCAATCTTTGCCGCCAACAGAAGAAGAAGAGGACGATACAGGTGGCGCAGACGGTGATAAACCAAAAAAGAAGAAAGCAAAGAAGGATCCTCTATTTTCTAAGAAAACCAAATCAGACCCGAATGCGCCGCCTGTAGGTAGAATGCCCTTGCCGAATTTGTAAGGAAGTCTTTCGTCGAGAAATATGTTCGTGCCTTTCGAAATTAAACTAATCTAATTGTTTCGGATACAGAAAAGATGCGGACAAATTGGAGAAAGTAAAGGCGCTTAGGGAAGCATCGAAACGGGTTGTATTGGGTCCGGACATGTTGCCGTCTATATGTTTTTATACGATTCTGAATGCAGTTCACGCGTAAGTTCCTCTAACGAATGAAATTCTGTTTAATCGATCTGAATATTTATATAATATTAGATATAGTGTGACAGCGGCAGAAGTAGCCGAGGACTCGAGTCTATTAGCCATCGGGTTCAGTGACTCTAGTATCAAAGTATGGAGCCTAGTCCCACAGAAATTAAGACTGATGAAGACCGGAGAACAACTGCAGGACATCGATAGAGAAGCAGGTATTGTTGAAAGAACAGAATATTCAAACGTTCGCAAATACAGAGTAAACATGTGTTTTGCATAATAACAGATGATGTATTGGTGAGGATGATGGACGACCGTACAGCGGAAACAGCGAGGTCTTTATTCGGGCATAATGGTCCCGTATATAGTTTATCGTTTAGTCCGGATAGGAATCTTCTTCTTTCATCCTCGGAAGATAGCACAGGTACATCGTGTTTCATACGTCTGTAATTGCTCGACAAAATGTTACATTACATTATATTACAGTTAGACTGTGGTCCTTGCATACGTGGACATGCGTCGTTTGCTACAAGGGACACTTGTTCCCAGTATGGTGCGTGAGATTCTCGTCTCATGGTTATTACTTCGCGACATCCTCACACGACAAAACTGCCAGACTCTGGGCGACCGATTCGCATCAACCTCTACGAATATTTGCTGGTCATTACTCGGATGTAGACGTGCGTTGATTGTTGACGCTAATTTCTGTTAGACTGAACGTTTTCTGAAATTCGGAATTTTTTCCAGGTGGTACAATTTCATCCAAATTCGAACTACGTAGCGACAGGCTCCAGCGATATGACAGTAAGATTATGGGACTGCGTCACCGGTAGCCAAGTGAGATTAATGACCGGGCACAAAGCTCCGATTTACTCCCTTGCTTTTTCCGCAGAAGGTCGATTTCTAGCATCAGCTGGGGCAGACCATCGGGTTTTAGTTTGGGACTTGGCGCACGGTCATCTCGTCGCTGCCCTGTCGAACCATACCGGTACCGTTCACTGTTTGTCGTTCAGCAGGGACGGTAATATACTGGTCTCGGGTTGGTATCGACGATTGCTAAATTCCAATCTATCGCAGAGCAGAAACGTATGTAACTTCGATCATCCACAGGGTCGTTGGACAGTACGATTAAATTGTGGGACTTCACCAAGCTTGCGGAGGAGATGAGTTTAGAGGACGTGAACGTGTCACACAACCCGGACGTGAAAACGAACGCGGAAACCTACCTTCTCAGGACTTTTGCGACCAAAAACACGCCCGTTTTGACGTTGCATTTTTCCCGAAGAAATTTACTCCTGGGGGTTGGAATGTTCGAGTCAACATAGCGAATGTACACACATCCTGTCGTCGAGTTTCAATTCTATTTACAGAACACTGTCTGGCATTGACTTGCTGTTGTTATAATATAAAAGCTTTTGTTAATAAACTTTTTCACATTGATTACGGGTCGCAGATATTGTTACTTATTTAGAAATTATTCAAATCCCTAATTCGAGTCTGCGATTAGAAATTGTGGTATATTACCCAAATAATAGAAAGAAGGTATCGAACGGCGAGCAGCTTGAACATTCTTCCGTAGATGGCGCAACTAAATTAACAATTAGCTAAAATGTTAATTATATATAAACGCTGATATCGAACGTAATAACCATTTGATCGAGGAAGTACCACACAGACGACGGGGGAAAAAATAGTGAAATACAGAATTGTCGGTTATCGAAGGACTTTTGTTTGTCTGCTATGACGTATTAATATTTATGAATTGATCAAGGGATGTTTGTTTATAATTGACGAAACTCCGAAGACAAAGCGGATGCTATGGATTCACGAGGATCCAACGGGGGAGAACTTAAATTACAACTAGAATATGGATGGATCATGGACGAGCTCCTCGGTGACCATCATCCATATTCTATTCCGATGACTGAACACTCGGAACTATGGAACCGCGATTGTGGTTTGTTTAGAATTCCACTCGCTACCTGTTGTATTTTGATGAGCTTTCCTTTGATTGATTGGCGGACCGAAATTATTCCGATTATGTATCTTGCACTTGTCGCCAGGGGCCAATTCCTGCGTGTGCTTTCGATATCACCGTAATCAGAAAATTCAACGTGTTCGCAAGAGACACCGAACCAAGAACAGACAAAAAAAAAATAAGGCGTTTAACGTTCCGGATCGGGACAAGAATGCGGAGACGAAGGTAAAAGAAGAAGGACGACAGAGTTTCATAGAGGAAACGTTTCAAGTAAGCTCGAATAAAATGTTGCTGGCGCCACTGACCCACATCGAACGTTTCATTTGGGCCGGGATATATTCATGGTTGACCGACATCGGGTTTTTCAAACGCGTATCCTTAAAAACCACCAGATACCGAGAGACGGTTTAAATGAGACTGAAGGTTCAGCGAATTGAATACGCTCGTTAGGTCAGAAGGTCAGCCAAAAAGGGAACAAATATGGCCCCTTTTTCCCGGATACCTTTTCTCGCTTCACCGGATCTCAATTAAAAACGCAGATAGAAACGGAAATGCGACCTTACGAAACATCGCCGCGTTTCAAATATGTGCTTGCACTTTAATGTGTCAACACTGCGAGTTTTCAGACGCGGTCCACATGTGTATGTATATTCGCGAAACAGGAACTCCTGTGACGTAGCCAATCGAGCCGAGATAGGATCATCGATAAATATTCATGAACGATCGCGACGTCTGTAATTAATTCGAATAAGAGGATGCTGGGGGTTTTGGACACCATCGAAAGCAATTTCACGCGAGAAATTTATTTCCGATTGTTGATACGCTTACTTCTATCACAGCATACAGACGTAAGTTATACGCGCTTGTTACCATACTTGTGTGTATGTACTCATGTATGTAGTATGTAATGTATGACGTGACGTGAATCCTCTCTCTTCGCGTACATATGTCTCCTTCTCTCTCTCTCTCGTTCATTCCCTTTCTCTCCCTCTCTCTCACTCTATTTTCTCTCTTTTTCCCTTTCATTCTCCCGTTCTCACTGTGGTTCCGCGCTCGTGAAACGATGGCTTTTTAGTAGTTAACACTTTCGTAACAGGGGGGGGGGGGGTGGAGGGAGGAGGGGTTACAATGGTGCGGCGTTTCTCATCGTCTTTTTTTGTCCGCCCTCGCGCATACCTCTCGTATTCACGTTCGTTTAAACTTAAACGATAACCAACTAGTATACATCAATCTCTACGTCCCAGTCACAAGCCTCGCGCATCGATATCAAACCTAGGTTATATGCGTGATCTTTATCTATATGTTATATCATCTTTGATAACGTTATGCACTTATGAAATCTGTATAGGTTAAGTTCATGGTTAATGCAGGAGCATAGGGATCCCGGTGCCCGGACTTTCTCGGTGTTCCTAGAGCTCGTTTTGTTCTGAAGTAGACACGGGTACGTATTCGTTTCGAACACACCGTTCGGAGCCTTTAATCAACGTTTTTCAAATAATTTCAATGAAAATATGGTCATAACATGTTCAGTAATAAACAACATCTTCGGTAATAAAATTCAAACGATAAAATCTCATCCCTCCGTAACTAACCCCTATAATATCGATAATGGCGTCGCTAAGCTCCCGCGTTAACGATTATGGTTGGCTGCGTGTCTCTTACAAAAAACGATGGAATTGTCGACGGATCGACGCAGATCACATCGATTGATTCGATAACACGATGATGGATCGGGAGGGTTTACGATAACGCTTTTGGTCGTAAAATCCTTACGATAAAAAAGTTTGCATACGACTATCCATTGTTCGGATAAGACGGTTATAAAATTATACGGTAAAATGGACTTTAAAAGCGACAGACATTGGTGGAAATTATTTTTTGCTTGTTTTTTTCTCCGTTTTTTTTTCTTTTTTTACATACTTCTCATGATATCGGATCCCATGCGCCTTGTTTACTTCAATTTCCAACGTGAATCACAGATGTCTCGTTTTTTTGCGACGAACTTGCGATTCGAAAGTCACATGGTTAACAGCGTTATTACCGACCGTCTTCCCGCCAAAAAATCTGTTCTCTGCGTCGTTTCCGGTCATGGACGTTTGTGGCACTATTTCTTCGGCAACCGACCCCCTTGATAAAAATTCTTTCTCGATGCAAATTACGATTCCTACTTCGTTTTTTTTGTTTTTTTTTCTTTAAAAGCATATACTTGCATTCGCTTCTCTCGTTTTACTTCTCCGTCCCCTTCATTTCTCTTTTCCGGTAGTTTAAATTTTTCCCGCTCACAACTTTGAATCTAACACGTGTGTCCCTAAAGCTACCGTGATACCGGGGTCTTTGTCAGGAAAATCATTTACACGATCGTTCCACCGACCGGATCTAGTCTTCGCTCTTGAGATACTCTTGAACATTCGTGGTGTTACCATACGAATGTGTGCGAGATTCGACCAACGGTTCCCGATCGAAGCGTAGATCGTCGTTGAAAACTCGAAACGACTCGGACTCGTTCGTTTTTAAATGCCTTCGAGAATTGGTCTATGGTATTCGAATACGATTATTGCGTACATGGTTTCGGCGCGCTGCGGNAAACGATGGCTTTTTAGTAGTTAACACTTTCGTAACAGGGGGGGGGGGGGTGGATGGAGGAGGGGTTACAATGGTGCGGCGTTTCTCATCGTCTTTTTTTGTCCGCCCTCGCGCATACCTCTCGTATTCACGTTCGTTTAAACTTAAACGATAACCAACTAGTATACATCAATCTCTACGTCCCAGTCACAAGCCTCGCGCATCGATATCAAACCTAGGTTATATGCGTGATCTTTATCTATATGTTATATCATCTTTGATAACGTTATGCACTTATGAAATCTGTATAGGTTAAGTTCATGGTTAATGCAGGAGCATAGGGATCCCGGTGCCCGGACTTTCTCGGTGTTCCTAGAGCTCGTTTTGTTCTGAAGTAGACACGGGTACGTATTCGTTTCGAACACACCGTTCGGAGCCTTTAATCAACGTTTTTCAAATAATTTCAATGAAAATATGGTCATAACATGTTCAGTAATAAACAACATCTTCGGTAATAAAATTCAAACGATAAAATCTCATCCCTCCGTAACTAACCCCTATAATATCGATAATGGCGTCGCTAAGCTCCCGCGTTAACGATTATGGTTGGCTGCGTGTCTCTTACAAAAAACGATGGAATTGTCGACGGATCGACGCAGATCACATCGATTGATTCGATAACACGATGATGGATCGGGAGGGTTTACGATAACGCTTTTGGTCGTAAAATCCTTACGATAAAAAAGTTTGCATACGACTATCCATTGTTCGGATAAGACGGTTATAAAATTATACGGTAAAATGGACTTTAAAAGCGACAGACATTGGTGGAAATTATTTTTTGCTTGTTTTTTTCTCCGTTTTTTTTTCTTTTTTTACATACTTCTCATGATATCGGATCCCATGCGCCTTGTTTACTTCAATTTCCAACGTGAATCACAGATGTCTCGTTTTTTTGCGACGAACTTGCGATTCGAAAGTCACATGGTTAACAGCGTTATTACCGACCGTCTTCCCGCCAAAAAATCTGTTCTCTGCGTCGTTTCCGGTCATGGACGTTTGTGGCACTATTTCTTCGGCAACCGACCCCCTTGATAAAAATTCTTTCTCGATGCAAATTACGATTCCTACTTCGTTTTTTTTGTTTTTTTTTCTTTAAAAGCATATACTTGCATTCGCTTCTCTCGTTTTACTTCTCCGTCCCCTTCATTTCTCTTTTCCGGTAGTTTAAATTTTTCCCGCTCACAACTTTGAATCTAACACGTGTGTCCCTAAAGCTACCGTGATACCGGGGTCTTTGTCAGGAAAATCATTTACACGATCGTTCCACCGACCGGATCTAGTCTTCGCTCTTGAGATACTCTTGAACATTCGTGGTGTTACCATACGAATGTGTGCGAGATTCGACCAACGGTTCCCGATCGAAGCGTAGATCGTCGTTGAAAACTCGAAACGACTCGGACTCGTTCGTTTTTAAATGCCTTCGAGAATTGGTCTATGGTATTCGAATACGATTATTGCGTACATGGTTTCGGCGCGCTGCGGCGCCAGGAACGATCGATATCTCTCTCTCTCTCTCTCTCTCTCTCTCAGTCGATCGTCCGTCTTTGGTGGATCCAGAGGCCAGCGAGGTAGGCGTAATTTAAAAATCTTAATTATTCACACGGTGGTCTCGATATCGGCGATGGCGTATTGTCAACAAATACTATCCTTCCCGTAATTGTCCAGGTACATCTCCTGAGGCGTGGCTAGGTTGTAGCGTCCGCTCAGGCGACTACCCGTCAGGCCATTGTTGTGATGAGTATGATTCACGTGAAGGTGGTTGGCGTTCAGGGCGACGTTCTTTTTTTTCTTGCGCGCTTTGTGACGGTAGAGGCAGTACTTCAAGCAGCCAGTGGCGAGTAAAAGGATCAGAAATATTCCTAGGGCACCGGCACCCACGGCCACATACAGTAAAGTCACCCCGAAACGGTACGAACAGTTGGCTTCCTCCTCGTCGAATCCGGAAGGACAGTGACGGATACCGTCGCACCACAACACCGAGCTGATGCACGCCTGGATCTCTGGACATCTGGAAGGAGCAATGATACGAAATTTAATTAGAGGTATATAAAGCTTTCTACTAAATTCCGAAATGTCTGACCTGTATGGACATTCCTCCTGTGGCAGTATAGTGAAGACGTTCGAGCTAACGCTCGGACTGGGAGACCGTTTCGAAATGGCCATCCAAGTGACGGCATAGAATCCTGGTTCTCTCTGAAGGAACTCGACCACGAAGCTCCTGGAATGTTGGGCCATCGCGACGCTGGCATCTACGGCGCTATAGTTCCAGCCGCCGGAGAAGAAGTCGACCGTTCTGGCAGTGTCGACGCCACCCTCGGGGCATATCACGCTGCGGTCCTTCGTGTTCGAGGCCGAATAGACAACGATGCGATTCTGCGTAGTGCAATCTTCAACGTTGTCCAGAGTGATGCTGTATCCCGCGGTTCTTAAATATAGGAAATTGATGCGCGCGTCCTCAGGCTCGATCAGCCAAGGCTCGTTGACACACTGGGTCGCGGTGAGGTCCTCCGTGTTGGTCAGGATCTCTTCGACGGCGGCTACGCCAGGAATGATCCTCGGCAGGGGACTTCTCAGAGAGATTTCACCGCTGGTACCACGCAGCCGTCGTTCCTCCAGCTTGGTCGAGCAGCCCTGCTCGCTCGTGTCGGCCCCTAGAGAGACGAAACGGTACTCTCCCTCGAAGAAGAAGTCTCTATAATCCTGTGTGACGTTCATGAGGGTCACCGCGAAACGGACCTCGACCACGTGCGACGTCAGGGTTCTCAGAGTGATCCTGTCGGTGACGTTTGAGCATAGGCAGTCGCGAACCTGAAAGTTTGAATCGGTAATTAAAATCACAATCAATTTTCTAGAAGCTGTCGCCCGGATGGAGAAGCCTACCAATTCGACTCCTTGCCAAGGGTACTCGGCGATGACCAACTCCGCGCTGCCGAACTTGGCGGAGTCGAAGCGCCGGTCGCAGGTCCATCGGTTCACCAGGGGATCCACGTAGGAGGAACATCCTTTGCTTCCGAACGAGGCTCTCGTTATGGACAGTTCTATTCTGTGGTCCGGCTCGGCCTCGAAACGATACACACAGCTAACGTTCTGCGCACCACCGCGTCCATAGAAGAATACACTTTTCGGCGACGCGAATCTGCCGATTTTCGCGGAGGACAGGGACAAGGAGGACGTGGAAGACGTGGATGAAGCTGACGCGGAACCGAACACGTGATTGCAGGGCACCGCCTCGTGCACGAACTCGTACCGCAGAACGAAGCTGATTGGGTAAAGCGCGCTTCCTTGGCGCAGAATGTGCTCGAGGGTCAGGGCTCTGCCGGTGGACACGTAGCTTTCCGCGAGGCTGCACGGTCTCGCGTGACGGCTACCGTTCCGCAGGAGGCTGTGGTCGCAGAGCCTGGGAGTATCGTCTTTGCAGAACTGTCCCAGCAACGAGATGTTCTGCGAACGGAAAGTCTTGACGTGAGACTTCTGCCGAAGTTATCTCCACGCGGAGACGGAAACAAAACGAAGAGGATACTACCTTCCGGACAGGTGTCTCTTTATGTAACGTGTGGTCGCCGTCCCATATCAGCAGCGTCGCGTTACAGTTGGACGCGACGTCGATGCTCGCGGCTGCTTCCGCGCTGGCCGCGTAATATTTGATGAAGGACAACCACACTATCTCGTTCGGCTTGCCCTGAAAGCGATAGCGGCAGGTTGTGTTCGGGGGCAACGAGTGCTTGGGGTTCTCCAGGACGCCCGACGAGCTGTCCTCGCTGGATATATAAAAGTCGCAGTTGTGGTTCTCCTTCACGAACGTTCTCGACTTCTCGTCCACGAACAGCACCTGGAACGCATACGCGATCGTAGTGAACCGCTATCGGCGTTTCTTGATCTAACAATTACCTGAACCTCGAGCTCGAAACCGGGCAGGAAAGACAAGGGGACATGATGAAACGGCGAGTCGTACGGCGACGTGTGAAACTCTAGGAGCATCGTGTTGTGGCTGCTGACGATATCCGGCACCGCATCCCCTCCGCACAGTCTGACCAACACTTTGTCGTACGTGGAGCCGCCGTCGTACACCGTCAGGTAATCTTGCGCCGTGTTGCACTGATCCCAAACTCTGAAAAACAGCTCCGGTTAATCGGTCGGTGTTCAAGACCAGCGCAGGAACGGTAACACACGGCGGCTTACTTTAATATTCTCTGGCTTCTGTCGTAGTTCGCGATCTGGTCCTTGATGTGGATCTTATGGCTGTTCCGTTGGCTGACGGCGAGCAACGCTCGATGGCCGGGCGGCGCGCGATTTTGCTCGACCCGGTAGTAGCAGGTGACATTCCTGGGGTAGACACCTGGATAATTGGGCGACTGCAGCCGACAGGCCCTGGTGTCGCACTTGGTGAGCACGCGGTCGCAGTACGTGCCGTTCACCAGCTCACCCCGCCACGTGGACATGCTGCTGTTCCCGTATCTGAGATGTGCCTCGCTGCGTCTCAGGAACTTGTACGACAACTTGAAGTCGAAATTGTAGCCACTCCCCTGCGAGCAGACGGGCAACGGTAACGGTTCCATAGCGATCAAGACCGGGTACAGTAATGTCTCCCTTACTGACGCTCGGATTGTCCACTGAATTGGATAATTTGGGAAGAGGAGACTATAGCGAGGTTTATTATTATAGTTATAAATTGTCCACAATTATAAAAACGAGCAATTATAGTCACGAATTGTCAACAACTATAAAAAACGAGCTGCAAGGCTCGACCAATCGTATCTGCTCTTCCCATATTGTCCATTTTTGTGCGCAATCTGGGCGTCAATTAGAGAGACATTAGTGTAATAAAAAGTGTTCTCTCTCTCTCTCTCTCCTAGCTACTTGCCTGCTCGGACAGTCGCAGTATGTACAGAGTCAAGTTGATGGAAGGCGTCTCGCTATAATACACCGTGTAGCCCCACGCGCTGCCGCACCATTGCCCTCCGGTCGCAGGACGACCTTCTTCGCGGATGGTCATATACCCGTCCGGACAGCCTTCCGACATGAACGACGTGAACCGGCCCACCATGAATTTATCGAACGTCAGCTGCGGATCACGGATATCTCAGTCGATTGGTAGCTGCGCTGGACTTGGTCTACATTTAGGATTCAAGCGTCTTGTTTTTATAGCGGAGGAGCAGGATCTTTGAGGCAAGGATAAAGTTACAGCGAGCAAATAAACAGGAGTGTATTACCATAGTCAAGATGTCTAACACAAACCAGATATATCTTAGTTGGTTAGATTTACCGAAGTTACAACTTTCTATTACAGCGTCTACTACATCCAGGATTCAAGGATTCTTGTTCGTGGTAGGGAAGCAGGATATACAGGAGGTGGGACAAAGTTCCAGAGTGTCACGGCAAACGGCGGTGTATTACCGTAACCGAAATACCGAACGGTATAGACCGCCGCGAAAGAACTTGGGAGCGAGATTGTTAGGCGGTTGCCGTGATTAAAGGGGCCGGGACACGTGGAAAAAGAGCCGAGGAGCACAAGTTTGCAAGAAGCAGCGCGGGGAGGAAATGTTCCTCGAAGAATCTCTGTGGCTACCCGATAGAACTGATTAATCGTTGCGCGAGGAGCAAGGGGGCGGTGAAGGGGGAGGAAGAGAGGAGAGGGACACCGGGTTAAACAAACTTACAAGTGCAATTTCGGGAGACAAGGTGTTCTCACGGAAACAGGAGCGACGTGGCACGAGGAGGGGAAAAAATGATTATCCGAGTCTGGAGGCTTTGTCTGGCCTGTGACAGGGCCCCCTCCCCCTCTCCACTGGCGAAGGGAGTCAGCATTTATTTTCTACGAGGATCAAGCTGCTTTCTTGTCCCACCTGAACTAGGTCTCCGAGGTCGGACCCGGCGGCAGTGAAGTTGAGATGACATAAGAATGGCAGTCGATCCTCCCTCGGCCGGCGGACTTCCACCCAGTAGGTTCTGCCCACGTCGCCGTACAGGGTTCTGTTGCACGCTGAAAACCCATCGAATCTCTCGCGACCCTAATCTCGAGCAGTGGCCGATCACCTGCCATTGTCGTCGGAGCAGATCGACCGCTGTCGGGACCAAGCTAATTGCTACGGACAAGCTGGAAGAAAATGCAATTTCCCTTCTCGGAAAATTGTGCCGCGGTTTCCATCGGACAATGCTTCGAGGAATCCTACGCGGTCTGAATTCGAGCGAGCGAGCGAGCTTATTTTTAACTTTCCGAGATGCTGTGAACGCGATCGATCGAACGTCGAACTTGCTCGCGAGTCACTCGAACCCGTCGCTAGCCAATCCCTTCGATCGGCCCGACTACTAGCTCCGACGAAATCGCCCGTGAAGCCTCCACAGCGCACGCGTTCAAATTTCCCGGGCTATCAAATTCGTAAGAATTTATTGGTAGACTCACGGGTGCAATATTTCGGCTCGTCGGACTTGTCGCCGCAGTCATTTTCGCCGTCGCAGTATTTGTCCTGGGCGATGCAGTTTCCGGTGTCGCACAGGTACTCGGATGGCCTGCGAACGAGACGCAAGTATGTAAACCGTGAAACGGCTATTCTTCCGCAACACGTGAAACTGAAACTTGCGATAAATCTTTTGTCTTGTAACCATCAGTTCCCACAGGTCATTTGAAGCAACTTTTTCCTTAGCGAAAATTCAATCCGCGGCTCCGTTTACGAGTTATTAACGAAAAACCGTGACCAATGGGCTGCGTCCGCTCGTTGGCTTGGTCGCCTCGCGCCAACCGAGCTCGCCCCTGATTGGCCACTGTTTTTCGTTAATAACTCGTAAACGAAGCCGCGGATTGCATTTTCGCTAAGGAAAAAGTTGCTTTAAATGAGCTCAGGAACTCATTATTTCTCGCAAGTATCATAATTTTAGGACAATATATATATTTTTATTATTCTGTTCTAATTAAAACCAGTTGACACGTTGACCATTTCTTGAATACAAAATAATAATATTTTCTAATATTTCCTATGGTAAATTTTCTAATTCCAGTGTCATCAATTAAATAGCTTCAAGAACGATTCTACGAGTTCACCGTTGATCCTGTGAATCGAAGTTCGAGCCAGATGCGTTCTTAAACACCGGACTCGAAGAGCAATCTTAAGTATGGATACGTTAGCAGCTAACAAAGACACAATGTATCGTCGACGATGCCGGACAAATCGTTGATCGGGAAGCTCGCTGGGAAAGACAGTTCAACGAGCAGTATTTGGTACCTGCAGACAGCAACATTGTCCAAGTAGGAGGCCGGCGTGATAGTGGCGCTGGACGCGGACTCTGAAGACGTCAGGCCCGGATAGGCCGCGAAACCAGGGTATCCGGCGTAGTCCGATGAGATTCCGGGATGGTAACTAGCGGAGCCAGCCTCGATCGAGGCCGTGATCGCGGCTGCGATCAGCAGCAACCGCCGGCACATCAACATGCCCCCTCACCCTGAAACAATATTTCGTTCAATTGTAAAACCGTGACGCGGAGGATGCGCATATTTGGAGAACGAAAGGGGTTCGTTTGCGCGAAGAACATGGATGATCCGAACAGCGATGGACCTAGTTGACCCCTCGGAAATGGTGACATCGTGTCAAGGTTATTTAATTAATATATATAATATTATTATATTATAATATATAATATATAATATATAATATACAATATATATAATATATTATAATATATATATATATATATATATATATATATATATAATATAATATTATTATATTATATATATTATTAATATATATAATTTTTAACTCTAGCAATTGTGAACGTACAATTTACTGGCGTAGATTGACTGTAAAGCGGGATAGGTTATCAACTTCTCTAATTATACAGGATGATCCAAAATTATGGTACTTCCGGAAAATGAGAGGTTCTTCAAGTCATTTGAAGCAACTTTTTCCTTAGCGAAAATGCAATCCGCGGCTTCGTTTACGAGTTATTAACGAAAAACCGTGACCAACGAGAGGCGAGCTCGGCTGGCGCGAGGCGGGCCGAGTGAACTGGGCGGAGCTGTGCTTCGCGCGCTCGTTGGCTGTGCCGCCACGCGCCAGCGGAGCTCGCCTCTCATTGGTCACTGGTCTTTCGTTAATAACTCGTTAACGATGCCTCGGAGAACATTTTTGTAAAGGAAAAAGTTGCTTCGAATGACTTCAGGAACCCTCTATTTCCAGATCGCGTGACATTTTCGGGAGAAATCCTATATAACACTAAATCTAGCAACCAAAAGTAACCGCGTTGTTTTATAAAAACGACGAAGGACCGTATTTATGGAGACTATAAAAAAGTCCTTAAAATGCGAACAATCGTAAAACACGAAATGTTGAAAAATTCTCGCCAGCGTTGTGTTCGAGACGACTCGTAGAGAGCGTAATGCCCGCGCTGGGACGATTTTAATACACGACACGAGTCCGAGGGCTTATTAAAGACGGCGAATGCGGGTTCTGGGGCTGGCGTAGTCCGGCAGCAAGTGGATTATGCTAATTCTATTCAGGCCGGCTATATTTATCCGCGGGGGAATATGTTTCCTTATTCCCGTAACAAAGGAGCCCGGCTCGTCCCGAATTTTTCCTGGCCTTGTTTTATACCTGTCGATGACGAAGAGGCGTCGGCGGGGCTCCTGGCAATCTCATAAAGGATTACCAGATTTCGGGGCGCGGGGGACGGAGACCGCCGCTGCGTGGAATACGCGTGCCGGCTAAAGGCTCTGTTTATTAAGTCGGCAAGCAGAATCTGGGCCAAACCCTCGGCCCGGCCCGTCCCGGCCCGGGGAACACGTAGCGCCGAGTGGAATATGGTAATTCCGAGCAGCCGTCTCTCCTCCCGTCTCCTCCCGTCTCGTCTCGTCTCGTCACGCGAATACAGGGGGTGGTGGCACAGTAACTCGTGCGCCACGGTCAATTGAATGCGGGGGACATCTTGGGTCGGGAACAAGGTGGTCGAACGTTTGTTTTTCGGCACCAGGGGCAAACACGGTGGCCGTCGAAGGTTTGAAAAATCGGTTTCGGTCGTTATTTCGCGAGAAATGACGGCGTCCTGACAATTCGACCGGGACGATACGGAGGACAGAGGCGGACGCGGGTTAAATTGGCCGCACCGGCCTCGAAATTGGGTCGGTGCACGGGAAAATCGACTGCAGATTGAGAGGACCTCTTTGCGGTGAATCAACCCTCTCCGTAGCGCCGCGCCGCGCCGCGCCGAGCCGAGCCGAGCGCGGGGCGAAGCGGAGGCTCCTTTTCTTTCCTTCGAAAAGCTCTCCCGCCGATAGTTTCCATCGATGCGAAATTGGGGCTGGCGAATCGTCGGCCAAGAATAGGCGGCCCGATTCGAGAGGATCGACGATTTCTACGGTTCTCTGGATTCCTCCCTGATCGTTATGCCCGCCGCCCGCGTCGCTCTGCACGAGGGGGACGAGGCAAAACCGAGCCCGACGAACGAAAGAACGGCACCGCCGAACGCCTATCGCGCTCCAGTTCGACCGCACGTCCTGTAACAACGCATCAACCCGATACGCAAATTGGCCGTGATCCTCAGGCCTGCGAGCTGCAATGATTTCGGTGATCGCGTCAACGATTCCTGTAATTGGAACGACGGATCGTCGCTTCGACGTGTTCCGCGATCGTGGACACAGGAGTGTGCGACCGGGGCCGATGTACTTGTGGCGCGCACGAATGTGTTCGTACATCGTTTAAAACGCGAGCAATTTTTCCAAACCGAGCTAAATGACTTGAATTTTTTGTTAGGTGATGATAGAAGGACTGGTCTACTGGACGATGGCTGCAGAAGCTTTTCTTTCATTTTGCTGTTGCTTGGAGTGAAATGAAAAAATTGGAAATCTTTGTTTTCTGACTTTTTTGTCCGAGATGGAACGGTAACTTAAAAAATGCCTTTTGTAGATCTTGGTAAGATACAATATTATGTGTATATCTGGGAGAGGCATTTTTTAAATTTTCGTTCCAGGTAACAGCAAAATTAAAAAGAAAGAGCATTTCAGTCAATATAAAGCAGAGAAAAGATAGAACGAAATTAAGTATGTTGGATGTGTTAGTTCCAACTTATTAAAATTATTTAAGGAAGGAAAAATGGTCTGCAACTGATGCAGACAGTTCTTATTTTGCATAAGGTCGACAGTTTAGTAATATCTCTTTTCCAAAATAGTTCTCTCCTCACCCGATCGATTTAATTGAAAAGAAAAAAAGCAAGTGCACCCCATCGTATAAATAGAATTTTCGTTGATCCGACTATCTTTCCTAGTTTCCCACACACAAGCGATTATTGTAATTAATCAATGAATACACATACATAAAGACTTCTTACCGGTATATTAATAATAGTAATAACAACGATAATTGTTATAATATGATAATTGTGATAACATATGTATACATATATAAAGACTTCTCACCCGTATATTAATAATAGTAATAACAACGATAATTGCTGTTGATAACGCCGAATTTGATCGGGCTCCTACAATCACCAACAATGATATCCCAGTTCAGCATCGTTGCTCTCGTCAACTAAATTCTACAGCGCGAGATACAGTAATGTCTCCCTAACTGACGCTCAGATTGTCCACAAAAATGGACAATTTGGGAAGAGGAGATTACTCGAGCCTCGCGACTCATTTTTATAACTGTTGAAAACCGGCAACTATAAAAACGAGTCGCAAGGCTCGAACTCGCTAGGCTCCTCTCCCCAAATTATCCACTCTTGTGGACAATCCGAGCGTCAATTAGGGAGACATTACTGTATCTCGAGACGAGATATCTCGCCGTTAGTCTCGGAGGCCGCGTAGATCACGGCGAGAGCAGCCGGCGGAAGAAAAAAAGCAAGAGGTCCGCGTACCATCGGCGTTCCATTAACATCTACCGTCCCTCCGTCCTTTAATCTTCCAGGAATAAGGTCTCGAGGAATCGTTTCCGGGAACGGTCGTTAAAGTCACCTTCGGTCGACTGGCAAGGAACTCTTTCCGCGTTATTGATCACGGGGGGCGGCGTTGATCGATCTAGCGACCGGCCGATCCAGCTTTACCCGTCGAATAAAATCCGCGTCCCTTTCCGTTGATCGGGCCCGTCCGCTCATAAATCCTCCGCGAAGAAGCCACCGCAACCTGTTGCTTAATTATAGCTTCTCGCGCTAGGCAGGAGAAGCCTTTCTCCGTTCGAATTGGTATGCGAGGCCCGAGGATCGATGGAAACCCTCCCTTGTTCTCTGTCCTCCCGTGTGCACCCACGGCTCGATATCGAAGAGTTCCGGGGCTCGGCGTCCGTTCATTTCGCCTTTGGTAGCAGCTGGTTCGCGGTTCGTCGCGAAAACCTAGCAGAGACCGCTTCTCTCTTTCTCTCTCTCCCTCTCTCTCTCTCTCTCTCTCTCTCTCTCTCTCTCTCTCGCCCTTTCCCTCCATTGAGCCCGAGCCCAGTCGGGCCGATAACCATCGACAGCGCGGCCATTCAATTCCGGCGGAATATTCGACGTCCGACAAAGTCTATCCGGCATCTAGCTTTATCACTTTGTCCCGTATCCGCGGACGTGGATGGCTGGCACGCCGCGAGATAGACCCGCCGGCCCGCCATTCAACGGTTTCGATCCGACACAGGGAAGGGTGCCAGGAAAAAGTGGCCGATCGACGGCGGCCGCGGGCCCCGACCGGTTTTCTAGATTTCTTTATTATCCAGCTTCGACGCGTTTCGTTATCGAAACTCTCCCACCCCCCTGGCCCACCCCCGACGAATATATAGCCGAATAATCCGCGAGCCAACGACGCGTTTCCGTCCGAAGAGGCGGCTGTGTATTCCGTTCTTCGGTTAGGGGTAGCGGACGGTACACGTCCGAGAGAAGACACGTCTGGCAAACGTTGCGCGGAAACACCATGGAAAGTTCGACGGATAGCGGAGAGTTTTTGGAAGTTGAACAGAGAGAGCGACGGCGATCTTTTTTCTTTTTTTTTTTGGTCCTCCTCCTGTTTGGTCTAGCCGCGCGATCTATAGATTTCCGAGCGTAGCGTAGCCCCCCCCGATATCCGAGCGTACATCCCCCCGGGCGTTACGAGACAGATGCAATGTGTCTACCTATTCGTGGAATAGGGTGCCTTGCACATATGTGGTCGGACGAAGTTGGACGTTGGCAGGGAAAAGTGCCAGAAGGTACTGAAAAGGGAAGGAAATAAGCGCTGTACGTGGCGAAGGCGGTTTCCACGTTGCCAAAAATCAAACTTTCTGGACCGTGCTGCTCTCCACTCTCCCCCCTCTCGCTCTCTCTCTCTCTCTTTCTCTCTCTCAGGGAGAGGCAGGCTCCATCTCTTTCCCTTTCTCGGGGAGAGGAAGGCTCCATCTCTCTCTCTCTCTTTCTCTCTCGCTGTCAGGGAGAGGCAGGCTCCATCTCTCTCTCTCTCTCTCTCTCTCTCTGGGAGAGGAAGCCTCCATCTCTCTCTCTCT